TTGAATCTTTCGTCAACGCATTTGTACATTCGTCTTACTTACCGTCACCTCGGAGCTGCTTGGGTGTTACTGTAAATATTTATTCCTTCTGAGCTGGATGGACTTGATTTGGACTTACGTTGACCTTCATTAGTATGCAAGTGCCTGTGTGCTTGTGTATATATTGTGCGTGTTTGTTTGTTTGACTGTGCTTGTTGATAGATAGATAGATAGATAGATAGATAGATAGATAGATAGATAGATAGATAGATAGATGTAGATATATACGCCTTTATATTCATCTATTTGATCCTGTCCGCCTCCGTGATTAAATTCCAAGGTGACTGCGAGACCTTGGGATGAGGCAGTGTGTTGTCAGGGCATCCAGGACCTGAGTCTAAATTCCCTTCTGTTGTGTATCTCTGGTCTCCGGGACACCACCAACTCGTCTCTCTCTCATCTAAGGTAGAACTGAAAAGAAAAATACACTTCCTCAAACTTTTATATTTCACCTTCATAAGAACAATAAAGACCGAGTCCAAACTGCTTTCTACTGTCAGACGTAAATGTAACCCAGAGGCGTTCTCGTGCACGTTCAGGTAAAGCAATGGTGTGTGTGTGTGTGTGTGTGTGAGTGTGAGTGTGTGTGTGTGTGAGTGTGAGTGTGAGTGTGTGTGTGTGTGTGTGTTATGAGCGTTTTAACGTGAAAGAGAATGATTCGTGTCTATTTTTTTTGTCTTTTTCCTTTTTACTTACTTAATCACATAAAGTCACATGTCCTCCGTTTTCTCGTGTGTGATTAAGATTACCCCGAAATCGAACCAATGATTCTTAGAACAGGAGGCGAGTGCTGTATCGACTCAGCCGCCGCACCCCATCACCTAATTCACTGGCAGCTTATTGTACTGTTTAGTAAGATACTTGTTTTCTTCTTTATTAGTATTATTTATAATTAGTAGTAATATTAGTAGTAGTTACTATTATCAAATACGTTAGTGGTATCGTCAAAATACGTGAATTATATGTTGTTAAAATGCGTAGTTGGCACTGTCAAAATACGCAGGGTGTCGTCAGGTAAAGAAATTATGTCATCATGGGTCGACATGCACCATGTGTCCTTGGATAAATTCACTAAGTCATTGTATGCTCTACACCCAGTGACGTCACGGAGTACCCCAGGGAGGTAAATACATAAAATGACTTGGAACCATTCTTATTTTTTTTTATTACACGACACAAACTATTTAGAGCATATATGGTCACACACTCTGGATCACCTGTTGATTAGCCCTCAGCTTATTTTACATGATGATAAAACACCGTAACACTACCTTGGAGGAGGCATAAGTTAGTGTAGATAAGATTTCAGTAGGCTTGATTATGTTTAGTTACGTTAGGTTATATTTGCTTTGAATAGGATAATTTGGGGGGCTAAACTTCAGGTGCTTCATCACGGTTAAAAACAAAAAAGAAACTCTAATCAAGGCGTTTATAAATAAGTAACCTGTGCTTATATTGGTATATCAAGCTTCTCATGTTTTAGAAACCGACAAGGAAGTCAGTGCTTGGACGTCTGACAAGGACTCTCAACTTATAAAGGGCACTGAAACACTCACCTCTTTCCAGCATATAAGAAACTATAACATTTCTAAAGCTCTCGGTGCAACACAGACACTACACTGGACAGACCAACCGCCCGAATGGCCAGTAAGCTGGTAAGTGGTGAATTGATAAACAAATACGGCATATTGGTAACCAGACTATGTTGGCTGTATTAGGCACATAGTGTACAGCCACACCGGAGAAATACTCCCCCGGGCATATTTTATGAGAAAAGATTATAGAGTTCATTAATTACTATTTTCATTACAAGCCCACCAGATATTAAGGCATTTGGATGTAAATTTATTCACTACATATTGATAATTATCGCTTTAGTCAGATTAACAGTCCATGCATTCACACAAAATGAAATTAAAACCTTATAAAATATTTTATTATTTTCAATTTAATATGTTTGGTAATTGTATTTTGATTCCAGTAATATATGCATTTAAATGTAACTGTTATTAACAAAATGGTAATATCATAAAGCGAAATATATTGGGTGAAGTGGAGACGTCCAGAAAGGCATCCATCCTCCATAACATTAATTCTTTTGAGGGGGGGAATTATTGTTACACTTTTCAGGAATACGAGTAAATCTCTGATGTAAACCGGGGTACTCCTTCCTGTGTGATTCCTCTTGTTATCTGGATTTGTCGGAAGTAAACATCGATAATATTGTTTTGTGTGATAGTGAACAAAGATGACGTTGTTGTACATATATTGTGGGTTAGTAAGCTTGAGAAAACGAGAGTGTGTTGTAACATATGAAAACAGAAGTACGTAGGTGAACAGTGGTGGCCGCAGCACACAGCCCCAGGGGAGGTCACAAACCGGTATTCAAGGGCATGCTTACCTCACCTAGTCTTTCTTAATTATTTCGTGCTCTTGAGAATGAGAAGTCCATTTTTTTTCCTCTCTCTCTCTCTCTCTCTCTCCCTCTCTCTCTCTCTCTCTCGTTATTAATTCTTTATCTTATTTTATGATTATACTACTGTATATTATATCACATTATATAATTCCGCATCGTATATTATATTCTCATTTATATTATTTACAGTAACATTAACCTATACACTCTCTACAAGTTAGATATATTTTACTTTAATATATTATATTTTTCTTGCACGAGCATTAGACACATCGTGACCGTATGAATAAACCTGAATGGTCAAAGATTCCAACTGGGATGTTCTCGTGCCCACTTCAGTAAGGAAATGTCGGGCACTTGTGTTAACGCTTGTGGCTATTGTCCATTAACAAGGTGAAGTGTGTGTGTCTGTGTATAATAATAATAATAATAATAATAAACGGTTTATTAATAGAGTTGCAGCCAGTGGCTGAAAATATACAGACTTACATTTGATTTAGACATAATGATATAATATGCATTGAATACATTTACAGGGCTGTACAGTACATAAATCAGGAGTTGTTATTATTTTAACAATAGATGGGATGGTGCTGTTATTATATCTATCGGTGCGGGCTCTTATGGGCTGAATTTTGTTGTAGTGGCGGACTGCTCGAGGTGGGTGGGGGGCTGCAGGAGGTGGCGATGACGAGGGTGGTGCAGTAGTCCACTGCCAAACCTTTCCAGTGCTTGTGTGTGTGTGTGTGTGTGTGTGTGCGTGCGTGTGTGTGTGTGTGTGCGTGTGTGTGTGTGTATGTGTGTGTGTGTGTGTGTGTGTGCGTATTTTGATGATTTTTATTTCTACAAAACTAGATATTTGTATTTTATTGTGTTTTTTTACATATTTCCTTATATAGAAATATGTCCTCCATTTCTGGTGTTTTAGATTAATTATAAAAGAGAGAGAGAGAGAGAGAGAAGAGATTTCCTCTTCCTGCCTTTGATCATCTTCTATGAGAGTTATGTTATAGTGGGTCCTATAGGCATGACGACCCCTTAGAGACAGTCAATACAGTACAAAGTGCAGGCTGTCCACAAAGTCCTGATCCGGAGTAAAAAAAATTATCACACAAAAACCAAAAAGATAGATTGATGCAATTTTTGCATTTTGTTGCTTTACAAATCGATTTTTTTTTATTCTTCAGTACACTTCAACAGGTGTACCGTTAGTGGACCGCTGTACATCCAACCGATACCCCACTTAGTCCACGCGTTGGCCAACTTATCCTTCGTCACTCTTCTGATGCCATCAGTTGTCCTTGTACGAAGTTTGTCGGTGTCAACAACAGCGGTCTGGAAAGCATAATCCTTAACATACCCCACAAGAAGAAGTCTAAGGGCGTAATATCAGGAGACGGGGGGGGGGCAGGAGACGGACCTGCCACGTCCAATCCATCTGCTAGGGAAGTTCTCTTCCAACTGGGTGACTAGATGCAGTAATTGCCCAGCATGTCATGATACACACCCACTGTAATATTCTGCTCAGCAAAGAAAACTGGGCTTCTCACCCTATCCTGGATGGTATCATACCAAATGTTTATTTTTTCCCCTTCACGAAACGGTCACGAAACTCATGTGGGTTTTCAGGTCCCCAAATTCGCACATTATGGACTCGTCCAGACACGTGAAAGGTGACATCATCAGAGAAGAACACCCTTTTTAGGTACACGTCTTCATCAATCTAGTTCACCATGGAACATGCCAGCTCATACCAGCGAGGCTTGACATTAGGCCGTAAAGCTTGGACTATTTGTATTTTATACGCGTAAAGGTGTATCTCTTGTGTATAACTTTGTGGTCTTAGTAATTGTAGTTCACCTGTAGCTCGACGATTAGGCTTCTTAGGGCCGCATTGGGATGTCTCTTAACTGAGGAACAAGATTTTCGTCTCCAAAGCCAACAACAGTCGCAGATATTGACTATGAGGCAACAGTGGAATGCCATATAGATCTGCGACTCAACTAACTCAACACAGCCAGGATAGCTACGTTTGTATTAGGATATTTAATATTAAGGTGATAAAATGGCTGCGAAGGTGTGGCTATTGGTGGAGGCTGGAGGCCACGTAAAAAAAAGTAGTCGTAGTAGTAGTAGTAGTAGTAGTAGTAGAAGTAGTCCTCTTCTTCTTTTAAACGTGTTCAGGTGGTTTCTGATAGATCATGGGTAGGTTAGGTAGGATATAATGGGGGGTCATGGGAATAAATGGGGGAGGATGGGTGTGGTCGAAACGTTGGTCACATGGGTTAAGAAATAAATTTGAACGACCGTTTCCAATAGACCATCGCTTTTACATGAATATACATTATCTAAATATATCATATATAGAAAAACGCAAACAAGAACAATTTACTTTCCATTACTTTCAAGTGTAACAACCATAACAACAACTAGGTACTTGCAGACCGTTACGAGGAAAATCGGTCATTAACGAAACTTCCAAACCTAACTCAACTCTCCAACTGTCGAGGCGAAAACTCCTGGATGACCAGTATATAAGCAAGGGAGGTACGCGAAGGACCAGTGCCGCCCCAGACGAGGTAGGAGAAACTCCTCAGCTGCTCGAGCTCCGCCACAACACTCAACGGAACTTCACCACGCATACACACGCAGGAAATCCACACGACCAGTGATAGAAGAATTGAAAAACACTTATTGTCACCGGTTGTAACACGAAGGCTAATCTTTATACAAGGTAAGATACTGGTTATATCTGGGTTTTCCTCCATGTTTGGTTGTGTTCACACCTACAATGTGTTTTAGGACAGTGCCCGGCGCCCCCAGGAAGCCTAGTTTATGCCAGATATTGTCAAGACCTCAAGAGTACTGTTGTTACTTGCTAATGGGGAGAAAACACGATGCGAAGGAGCTTGTTTAGTGATAGGTATTTGTAAGAACATTGTTTGATTTTGTTCAGTGTACATGTAGAGTTACTATACAATGAAGATGAATTTAGATCTGAACTTGGGTCTTCAAGCACGATGGCGATACTCTCGCCTTTAATGTTGGAGTAACTTAAAAGAAAAAAGATACCAGCAATAACAGAAGATAACTATTCTTTGGACTTTGCTGCGATAAATTGATACTCTCAGATTGTCTTTTGTATTGTTAGAATAAGTGTTTATGTTAAAATACATGGTTAGTAGACTAAATGGTAAAGTTTTAATTTCGGACTACACGGGAATCTTAGGAATTTTATGTATGCTATAGGTAATTTAGACAGTTCTAAGACACTTTTCTTCTATGACGTTTACCCCGCAAACGACTTATATATGCCGGGGGGGAGGTTCCAGGGAGGGCCGGTCCTCCCAGTTAGGAGGTCATGTTAGGTCATTTGCGAGGGAAACGTCATTGAAGAAAAGTGTCTAAGAACTGTCTAAATTACCTATAGCATACATAAAATTCCCAAGATTCCAGTGTAGTCCGAAATTAAAACTTTACCGTAATTGGCATCTTCAAAATAAGTGAATTATGTTGCTAAAATACGTAGTTGGCACTGTCAAAATACACAGGTGCCATCGTGTAAAGAAATTATGTCATCATGACTCACTGTGTGCCTTGTATCCTTGGATAAATCCACTAAGTCATTGTCCGAGCTACATCCCAATGACGTCACGATGTACCCGAGGGAGGTAAATACACATAGCGACTTGGAGCCATTTTTATTTTCTTTATTACCTGAGAAAACACAAACAACAGACAATTAATTTAATTTTTTCAACTGAAATATAAATCTATGCACTAAATATTGGTAACTAGAGTGTTTTTCGTGTTAGTTTTCTGGTGTAGCGCAGCATAGAGGTGATGTATCGTCCACACTAACAATATGAGGAAGAAATGTTTTGTCTACATATATCTAGTAGTTGTAGTTTATTTATATATGTACCTGACTACAACTGTCATAACAAAATATATTGTAGGTAAGAAGCTATGTTATGAAACCATGTTGACGTAGTTGTATATATTGTGGGTTAGTGAACAAGAGATGACATTGGTGTGTTGTAAAAAATTAATACATTTATAATATTTATACTGTATACACTTGTCACACTTGCCAGATGCTTATGATGTTATTGTACAGGGGCACCTTGTGACAGCACTAGGATCCCGCTTCCTCTATCAAGGAATATTGAAATTTAAAAAAAAAATGAAATAGAAGTGCGTAGGTGAACCGTGGTGGTCGCAGTACACAGCCCAAGGGGAGGCCACAAACCGGCATTAAATCAAGAGTCTTCCTTCCTCACTCAGCCTTCCGTAGCTACGTCGTGTTCTTGAGTGACTAGTTTTTTCTTTAAATGGTTAAAGCTGAGACTCCCTTCCTCATGCACACTCCTTAACTTGTTGGCTGCTCTCTCTCTCTCTCTCTCTCTCTCTCTCTCTTGAAGCACGTATATTCTTGTTGATGTTATAATGTAATACTAAGTTTCAACACATAAGGTCCTTAAGCACGTATTCTAATTTAGGAGAAAGTTGTGCGGGTTTATAGTCAAGCGGAGATTTGTAGTGGAGAGGAGCGGTATATTATAGAGGAGAAATTTTTGAGGAAGAGGGAGAGAGAACGGAACTGGAGAGAGACACGCCGAATAAACCAACAATTGTGTGTGAGAGAGAGATTAAGTAGAGAAAAACAACCCTGTGTGAGAGAGAGAATGTAAGCGAGTAGTTGTGGTGTTGTATTGGCATGTTTAAAGCCTTGGCCCACTTGTTGGTACAGAGGCTACACAAGTTAGGGTCTTTTGTTGAGGGCGAACCTGTGGGGACCAAGGTTACCTTACTACCCACTTACCGTTACCTACCCTACCTACCCGCCCCACTCCACCCCAACCCTGTGCCCCTTTCTACCCAACCCTACCCACCTGCCGCGCCCTACCCATTTGCCCCACCCCGCCCACATACCCTACATTCCACAACCCAGAAATAATAGTCATGTATCGCTATTGTGTTCACACATTCACACACACACACTCACACACATACATTAGCATATACATACCCACCTAATCCATTTAGTTTTTTCGTATCGGAGAAAGAGAGATAATTAATCCACTTTCTTTCATTATAACAGAGACACTACGAACTAGAACTAATCCATTCAATGAACTTGCCGTCTATTACAAGACACAAGTGACTTCCGTAGTTATCGATTTCACACAAAGTTGGGAATCGCTCAGCCGAAACATCCGACCCCACCGGTCTGTTTTTGCCAGGGTGTGATGTACCTACTACGCAACCTCTACTCGTCCAGCCAGCCATGACTGCGCCCAAGAGAGACAGGTCACTGGTTTGACTGCCTGGTGCCACTCACTTCCCAATGTCAAGGTGTGGAAGCTGCCATCCGGAGTTTTAGCCAACCTGACCATCTCTTTGGTTCATCTGCTCGTCACTGGTGGTATGGAAGGAGGTTCTTGTAGTGGCGGGTCTCTTAGAGTCGAGTGTGTAAATAACTACGTCATTGTTAGGGCGGCTTTATCCTTGTGAAGACTTTAATTAAGAGAGTGAAAAAAACTGTGTTTCAAATGATGTTGAAATAAGACGAGGCTCAGGGCTAAAAACTTTTTCTTTCTTTTTTTGCGTGGTGGTGTCCTGCAGGGCCTGGGCTACGTGCTGTCGCCTCCTCGGTTTTATTTTGGATTTTATTCTTTAATTACGCGTACAAACACATAAGAAACACACATGCATACCTACAATAAGACGTTTTCGTACGTATATATTCGCAAAGACACGCGCATATATCCAAATACAGTACAAACATTAACACAGACATATTAAAAAATGCACATGAACACCTTCCTCAAAAACTTACACTCCAGTATCCATCCCGTACATACCCTTATACAACAACTCCAGCACACACACACACACACACACACACACACACAAACACACACACATCCTCAGTCTAAGCACTGTTTCTTTCCTATGAAGGTGACAGACCCTGGTGGTGGTGAGGATGTCAAAGTGGAGGACAGGTTTCTGAGGCAGTCATCAGGCACCCACGGATAGAAAAACTAGGCGCCTTGGTCACCATTATACAAGACTCCCTATTGTGGTGACGGGAGAATCGTCGCTCGTGAAAGTCGCTGTAGTTTATTTGAGACGAATTACATAAAGATTAGACACCCCAGTTTATTTCAGCTGAAGACTAAACATTTTAACACTACCTCGGGGAGCGGAGGTTCGCTTTAGGTTAGGATAGCGTTAGCATAAGGTAAGTGTTAAGTTAGGTCAGGTTATATTAATTTGCCGCAGACTTCATAATCTTACCAAGAAATCCTACATATCATGTCTCTCCTCGAGGTATATAGAGTTATTGGAGAAAGAGAGAGAGAGAGAAAAAACATACAATACAAATAGAAGAGTGCATGTATGTGTATGTATGTATGTGTGTGTGTATGTATGTGTGTGTGTGGTAATTGAGTGTGAATGAATAAATATATATTTGTCTGTTGGTGTGTATGTGGTGTATATGTTTGCGTGTGTGTGTTTGTCGTGGAAGTAAGAGGTGGTTGTACAAGACGAGATTCCTTCACCATTAGAGCTAGGCGGGTGGGAGGCCAGAGCTGTGGTTCTTGACCTTATTACATAACCCACACGCGCGCACACACACACACACACACACACACACACACACACACACACACACACATTAAACGATGTATTTCGCCTTGAGAGTTCTTCATTTCCTTATAATTTAATTGATGATACTTCGGTTTTATAGATTTCGTAATGGAATATTTCCACCGTTAATATCCATGAGTCAGTGTTTAATAGCTCCAATAACTTGGGATTTATGGCCAAATCGTGACTCAGCGTCGTGAATAAGTTTCTATATGTTACGTGACATTATCAACACTACACACACACACACACACACACACACACACACACACACAGACACTAGCGATTCGTAGGTAAAGGTTTCAGGAGAATTAATGTATTTTTATCTGGTGGTTTTTGTTTTGCTTTTTCTGCGTGTTTAAGTTGACATGAGAGCAGAGAGTCACAGGTACACACCGCTTATTGTCCTTCATCTCGACCAGGTGTTGTCCTCTTGACCAGCATTGTCTGTCACTCATCCTGAATTGGATTTTTTTTTCGTGTGAAGTTAATGGCACTACTACTACTACTACTACTACTACTACTACTACTACTACTACAAATAATAATAAAGAAGAATTAGGCGTGGCAATAAACAAACACTACGAAACATATCAACAGAAACACTTACAAGAATACTAAGTGCCAAGACCTCAGTTAAAAATAGGCAGACATTGGTTTGACCTTCACAATACAGGTAACTATGGTAGACGAAGCGCTTAATTACTTCCTAGACAGTGACCTCAGTTATTTTTTTTTCTCCAAGACGTGACATGCGAATTTGTGTACCCACCTACTTACCCACTTACCCACACACCCACCCACTTACCAACATACCCATCCATCTACCCACCCACCCACCTACCTGCCCACCCACGCACCGGAAATGTTAGCTACTAAATGTTAACAGTATGAACGATATTTTGTTCATGCAATTTTTTTATCGTTGGTTCATTCTGTATGTAAAGGTTGCAGATTAGGTACCCCTGTTAATTATACCTGAGGATTAAATACCCTAATCCTAACTTAACCTAATCTAACCTAACCTAACCTAACCTAACCTAAACCTAACCTAATCCTAACCTAACATTGGTTATTTTATTGTTATTGGCGTTTCTTCTTCCTTGTTCTCCTCTTCCTCCCACCTCCTTCCCTTCTTCTTCCTCCTCCTCCCACTCCTCCTCTTGTTGCACTTCCTCCTCTCCTTCGTCTTTCTCATCCTCCTTCTCCCTATCCTCCTTCTCTTCCCCCCCCCCCCACTACCGTCCAGCCACGCACCAGTTATATCCGACACGATCCTTTGGGCTGACAAGGTTATCTCTCCTCATACAGGAACTACTTTATGTACCTCTGTTCTCACCTGTTACGTCTTACCCCTTCTATTTTCTTTACCTCTATCTATTTATCTATCTATCTACGTATATATCTGTCTATCAACGAATCTATTTGTCTATCTACGTATATATCTGTCTATTTACGTATATATCTATCTATCTACGTATATATCTGTCTATTTACGAATCTATTTGTCTATCTACGTATATACTGCATCTGTCTATCGATAGTGGATTTAAGTTTGGTTACTGGCTGCTATGAAAATGTTAAAAGAGATGTGTGTTGACGGGTCAGGGGAACACTTTATGAATATACGATACTTAGACTGTTTAAAGACTGTTGTAGTTGATTTGTATTACGTAGGTATTTATCGTTTTTCTTTATTATTATTGTTGTTCTTGTTTTTCTTTTTCTTCTATACGTATTTAGGTTTCTTTTGTTTTATTCTCTCTCTCTCTCTCTCTCTCTCTCTCTTGGTATATCTGAAATGTATTGTGTGAAGAGAGATACGGTCAAAAAGAGAGAGAAGGAGGTTGAAAGACAGAGGGAGAGAGAGGTAAAAGAAAGAGGGAGGGAGAGAGATAAGGCGAAAGAAAGAAGATGAAAGAAAGGTAAGAAGATAGGATGAAAGAGAGAGAGAGAGAGAGAGAGAGAGACATAACAAAACAGAGAGATAGACAGACTTCCTCAACACCACCCCACAGGTTCCCCCACCCCCTCCCCACAGACTCCCCCACCCCCAGCACCACCCCACCCCCTCCCCACAGAAAAAGGATCACCTGAAGAATAATCACCCCGGCTTATTTTACCAGATTAAACAGCCTCAACTAACCTAACCCAACCTAACCTAACCCATCCCATCCTAACCTAACCTAACCCATCCAATCCTAATCTAACCTAATCCCCCAGGTAGTGTTCGGGTCTTTAATCATCAGGTGAAATAAGCTGACTTACCTAATCATCAGGTAATCTCAGACATCTCCCTTAAAGGTAATGGGAAAGTGATACAAGATTTAATTTATCAGGGGTCATATTTGCCCCCAGAGTAAACATAAACATATATGGATAGATGAACATACACAAAGTCATCCCCCAAAGTCATCCCCCAAAGTCATCTCCAGCAGAGGGCGCCGCTGGTACTGTATAATGGCAGTAAATCAGTTGAAGTATATTATATAGCGATATATTATAACCAGAACTTAATATAACAAATGTTTGGATATAAAAGGGGTAGTTATACTGTATGATTGGGGTGTGTGTGTGTGTGTGTGTGTGTGTGTGTGTGTGTGCGTGCACTTAACATAATTCATAAATTGTACAACAAATACTGATTATTGAGAATTACTGTAGGGTGTGTTGTGCCGGTAAAGTGTCATGACGTCATAGTACAGCAGTTTGTACTCCACCTTTCGCACACTCAGTTTCAATTTCAACTATTGTTTTTTTTCTTTCTTTTTTGGGTGGTCCAGTATCAGGTCATTTGTCTTACTATAGAGACAATATGTGGTAGACGGTGTACAACTTGCTGCTGATATTTATGTGTTGTGTTTTGTCCCCAGATGCGTGTGTTGTCGCTGCTGATGGCCGTGATGGCGGTGTTGCTGGCGGTGGTGGGCACAGCTGACGCCTTCAAACGCCCTCGACCATGGTGGTTCGGAAAGGGTCGTCGAGGTAGGTTGGGGTCAAGGCCGAGGTCCCGGTCTGACTGCGTCAATACCGGACTGAGTGTGTCGTGCTGAGGGCCTCGTCCCTCCTGCAGCTCAGTGATCCTCGTAAACCCTGCGTGGCAGTCCCTGGTGTCAGGGCCGTTGATGGTGACTCCTCATGTCTTGACGTAGGTCTTCAGCCTTCGGCAGTCCAGCGTTCTCCCTGAGTGCTTGTGTGGTACACAAGCCGGGTCCATTTGCACTGACTTGGCACCGCGGTGTTAGGGACCCAGGGGAAGGCGAGGGCCATATATATTACTGTTCTCTGCCTTACTCCATCGTCTGCTGCCTCTCACACTACAGGCTAAAGTGGTGGAGAGTGGCCGGTGACCTGCTCCTGCTGGTCACCGTTGGAGACAACACTGTTTACCGGATGTCCCAGGTACAGCAGTCATCACATATTGGAATTCGACAATAAATTCTTTATCATTAAACTTACCGAGTTTTATTTTCATTGTATTTGGTGGACTACAGAAGCCATGTGGCACCATAGGGGAGCCGCGCCCCACGAGGTACCCATAAAATATGAAATAATTTTGTTATATTTATGAAAAAATATATCACAGTGGAAAGAAGGGAACTGCACTACTATTTTTGATTGGAAACAAGAACAGTAGGTGCTCAGTGTACTCAACTACTAAAGTCCGTTCACCTCTCCCCCTCACGCACCCCAAGATTCAGACTCGTGAACCTGAAGCAGTAGACTGATACATTATTTTCTCTATAAATGCTTCGGATTCATAAGTCTGAATCATGGGGTTCATGGTTTAGGGGGTAGGCGAGCGGACTTTAGTAGTTGACTGTACAGTACACTCGCCAACAAATCCTGTCACCTCACTCCCCTCTTCATAAACCCCCGCCCATCATGTCACACCTGGAGACAGAGACTAACCCAAAGCGCTTGGTCACTATGGCGTCTGAGTTTTAGCTAATAACAGAAGTATTTTACTCTATTTACTCGTGTGAAGGCAGTTTAGTTTAATTAAAGGGAGTTCACTTATTCACTTGTTTTTTTCTTTACCATAATATCATTTACTTATGCTAATCCATCTATTACTTGGGATCCATTATTGTTCTTATATTAGTCAGGGGGAATGTATAGAGATATCTAACTAATTTAATTCATTCAAACAAAAGGCAGTACATCTAACATTATCTTTTAGCTGTAGAGAGTAAATTCTGAGTGTCCAATCAGAGTCTGTCTTTCAAAGATCATTAGGCACTTTTTTTCCCCACTGATTGGCTAGTCCACAAAATGGGCGTAGTCAAGTCAGTTCTATGAGCTGAGTTATTTTCATGGCACTTGGTATAGGCGTCTGGTCACCCTTGATAGGATAACGAATGGCGGCGAATTGGGATAATTGTCGCTAATAGGTATTATAAACACACAGGGCCCCACAGGTCAAATTTCAAGTTCCCCTTGTAACGGCTGGCTAGCGTGGACGTGCATAGGTGTCTGTTTAATTACAAGTTTCTTAATTAGCTCATAAAATATTTGAGATATCACGCGGACTATCAACCAACTAATACCAGTGAAAGGCAAACAGAGTACCCCACCGTCCCCAAGGTTCCCGTTAGCTTACCGGATATCACTTGGCAATATAAGCCTAGCTAGGAACTTTTTCAAGGACACACGTACAATAACACTGGCAGAAAATTGCAAAATATTTCACTTATCTGAATCAATTTGAGCGAATTAACAATAACTTAAGGATATTAAAACACAAACTTGGAGCTAAAAGTAAACATCTGTATATTAGAATCTGGCAACTTGACTCTTTAACAGGATAGAACCTCTTCACTCCACTTACAACATGATAGATTAGTACTGTACAGTCTCTGTGTTGATGTGAACAGAGGAACACATACTTCTTCCTCAACGGAGCTATACAATATTACTCAGAAACTGTATATTACCGTTCACACATTAAACTATGAGTGGTATAAAAAAAATCACCAATGATAAACTTTTTACATTAATAAGTTATTAAAGAAACGTGGAATGATTGAGACATCTTAGTGAAGCGTTGAAATAAGCAGACATAAACAGTGGCAAAAACAGATGCATTTGATCATCACACTCTGCAACATCACTCATTAGAATAAGATAAAAGTGACCAACCACAACATAGTGAAACAGTAAAAGGCAAGTTAAACATTAATGATACGGTGACATCTAGTTGATCTTCACACACGGTTGTTCTGACACATCTAAGGTAAAGTGTAATTGTTTAAGTTACTCTCCCAATGTCTGTCACCTGAAGATTAATCACCCCAGTTTATTTCACCTGAAGATCAACCGCCCTATCGTTAACTCAACCTAATCTGGCCTAATCTAATCAAATATAACCTAACCTAACCCAACTAAACTTTCCAGGTACCATTATGCTTTTTCTTTGACTGTAAGATTTAAAACACTGGACGGGGACACACACACACACACACACACACTGAGAGGACTCTGGTAATGCATGAAAGGTCAATGTTTCACTGTCGTTCTATTAATAAATAAAGCGCGTCAAAGAGGTTGAAAAAATAATCATGGTATGAGTAAATTAAGCAATGTACTGATGCATTACTGCTAAAATGCACCGAGAGACTGTGTATGTGGGAAAGATTCAGGCCAAGATTGAGCTTCAGTATCTTAAAATTACTTCTTAAATATGATTCATTATTTACAAAACGAAGTCAGTCAACCATATGTAAACAAAGAGAGAGGATAATTACATACGATCAGCCAACTAAACTTTTATATCCACATCAAGTTTGTGTTATAATAAATATGTGGCGCCCATTTCCTGGTTATTTTGATTGGTGTCCTGTTATCTGTTTTATTCTGGTTGCCACCAGACGATTTTATGCAGCTGGGGAAGTTCCATTTCGTGGTGAAGGGGTTAAATAAAACTTCTCTGCTTCTACAGGATATACTTTCAAACATAATCATAATCCATTTGCAACACCTTACTTAGAACCCTCTCTCATACTATAGTAACTTTAATATTTTCATCTGGCTGGAGGTAGACGATTACACTCAGCTGAGGAAACGCCGTCGGTATTGTAAAAGCGTTATTCTCCATCGCAATCTCTCCCATCTATATACAGTTCTGTACCCTTTCCCTCCTGACCCCCAGTACCACGTCTCCCTCCCTCAGAAAGACACTTACCCCGACACACCCCTCTCCTCCCCCTCCCGCACACACTTAAGACTACTTCAGAGTTCAGGGGTCACACCTCAGGGAGAGAGAAGATTGTCAACACTAAGTGATAAACGCAGGAGTGAAGTCAATGCAGGTACACAACATACATGGACACTGCAGGTATACAAACAATGAACCTAGACAGTGCAGGTATAACAAACACCACAGGTTTCCCGGTCCCCAGTTTTCTCCTGTACTAACACTGGGTAGAGTGCCCAAACGTCTGGTTAGCTGATAAGTGGTAAAAGAGATTTATTTCTTTTATTTTGTCAATCTTGTCGACGGAAATAAAACTTTCAGCTAAATTTATGAGACTGGTGAATTAGAAGGGTTTAATTTGTGAGGGTTTTTTCTGTCTGTTCAATTTTAAGTTTAGGAGCTACACAGTATAGCTAAGTGAGTGATGGAGGTGTTGTGTTAAGTTTATCCTCGAATGCCCAGTGATTGAAACAAATAGAAAACGAGAATTAAGAGGAGGGACAATAAACGTTGGAACATCTACGAGCTACTTTCGTGACCCGAAGTCAGTCTCCACGCTGCGTCTGTCCTGTGTACATGGTCTCCACGCTGCGTCTGTCTAGTGTACACGGTATCAACACTGCGTACCCTCACCACAACCGACTGGAGTACATAGATAGGTTAAGATAGGTTTCGTTTGGTCAGTGTGATACAAGACGTCACACTGAGTATGGTTAGTTTATTATGAGACATTGAATACTCTTGCGTGGTCATTCCTATAAAGAGATACAAGTTGCATTTATAAAAAGTGTAGTGTGGCAACTCCCTGGTGGTGGGGAGGTGAACTATTATAAGTATAAACAAGGTATATTACTGTACAGTGCAGTGCAGTATATCCCACTCGTGTTATGTTTACTGAACAATTCATCTCATCAAATTGACCGAACGAAAGTGATTAAAAGATACCCATTTAGGCTGTGATTATCTCTATACTCAGCTAAAAGCAAAACAAAAACAATCTTCCTCACACGAGAATAAAATGCATTTATCCATTCGGGAAACCCGGTTCTTGGGATGACTCGAACGCATTCACTAGAAAAATACATAGTCACGTTCAGGAGTGATTAAAAAAATAAATTATCACGTTCAAAAATGATTTAAAAAATATTAGAAACTTAAATAAAAAATCAATTTCAGAATTACCGAAAGTGAAAACAAAACGATCCACTTAAAACGAGGTCATTTGCTTCTTGACCAGCATTCGAGGCAGTTTACGACTTTACGAGTTTACGCTCTTCCCAGTTGTGTGAGTGGCCATCAGTGTACCGAGGGCGAGGGACATCTCTCCGAACAGTGAGGAACAGGTCAGTTTGTCCAGCGAGTGTGTGTGTGTGTGTGTGTCGGGACCAACAAATGACACCTTTATGACAACCGCTGGGTACTAAAGTAATGTTTATGTTATTGTTATGACGCTGTGGTGTATATATCATCATTATTGGGCGTTTACAATATTTCTCCAGGTAAATCTTCCATAGTGACGATGCACGAAACATTATTAACTCATATTAAGATAGAGATAGAGTTCTGTGTATGGGAATATTTACCTTTCTTCAGTGTGTTTGTGTTTACAGTGACTAGTTGTTTGTTTGCGTGTGTGTTTGTCGTGATGATTGTTTACAGAGTCCATTCGGGAATATATACATCCATAATGTAATCTTCCTCATGTTTACGCTGTGATTGTAAACACGATTAGCATCAAGGGACTTTATAAACATGAGTAGCATCAAGGAACTTTATAAACACGAATAGCATCAAGGGACTTTATAAACACGAATAGCATCAAGGAACTTTATAAACACGAATAGCATCAAGGGACTTTATAAACACGAATAGCATCAATTTTGTAACACCGTGTAAATCAGAGGCAGGTTGTGGGGATTAGGTGATGTGATTTTAATAGAGATAAAGATGACGTGTGTGTGTGTGTGTGTGTGTGTGAAGAATTAACCCTATGATTCGATGATTCATTGGCCGGAACGTCAATTGGTTCGATGACTTGGTTTGAAGTTTCATTGGTTTAAGGATTCATTGTTTTGAGGATTCATTAGTTTGAAGGTGCATTGCTTCAAGGATTCATTGGTTTTTAAAGGTTCATTGTTTTAAGGATTCATTGGTTTAAAGGTTCATTGTTTTAAGGATTCATTGTTTTGAGGATTCGTTGTTTTGAGGATTCGTTGTTTTAAGGATTCATTGGTTTGAGGATTCATTGTTTTAAGGATTCATTGGTTTGAAGGCTCATTGGTTTAAGGGTAGATTGTGTTTGGCCTTCTACCGGTCAAAACCCGAACCATGAACCCTTGAACTATATCACATTGTCTAGTTCTGTCCTTATGCTGGCCATACCGGTACATCATGTCACAAAAATTTTCATATTTACTAATGCTACAACTGCCAGGTCTCTCTGCATTTCTCAGTTCTTCTAGATCAGAGTTTATGATTCTGACTTGAATGTTTTTAAGTACAGCATTAGACAGGCCAAGGTTAACATTTTCTTTCTTACATGCCTCATTGGCGAGTCTATCAGCACAGTCATGATACCTAATTCCAACACGGGACGGAATCCACACAAATTCGATATGAGAGTTGTTCTCATTGGCAGTTATCTCATTTCTTTAAATATCACATACAATTGTAGTCACGGAATATCACCCCACCTCCATTTTCTTTAAGGTAGTCTGTGGCTAAGTAGATTCCAGTTAGTTCAGTTTGTGTTGTGCTGGCCCAGTTATTCAGCCTTTGCTTGTTTGACACTATCATCTCCTTTTCTTTATATATTACAATTGCACAGCCTGTTCTACCTGTGTTTGTCTGCACAGAACCATCAGTAAAAGCATAACATTCACTTGATTTAATACTCTCTATGTGTCTGTTAATAGTTTCTAGTGTGACACATCTCACCACATCGGTGTTTAACATTTGCTTACTACCAACAGGAGTGTAATTAATAGGAACTGATATGTCCAGCCAAGGAGGAATGGCATTAATGGGTTCGTCTGGGGTGATTGGGACATTCAGTTTCAAGAGATCTGCCACACTTTTATGAAGCCACGCCCCAAAGAGAGTCTTTTGTGGAAGGTTAGCGAGATTGTCGGGATTACCTAAATAGAACATCAACTCAGTTTGAGCTATAGTTTGGGGACCATTGTTCTTCAAAACTTTGACACAAAACATGGTAATAAGTAGAGCTATCCTCTCAGATAGTGAGGGCAGCCCGAGCTCTTTCCTCATGTTTACAATTCTGGTTGATTTTGGGCATCCTAGAATGATGCTCATGGCTTCATTTTGCACTACCTCAAGGCTGTTGAGTTGCTTAGGCGGAATAAACACAAGAGGAGAGCATTATAGTCAACTACAGAACGAATGAAGTGAAGAAAGAAAGTACTAGCATAGGTGATGTTAATTCCATAGCCCTTGCCAACAAGGTTCTGGGGGATTTAATGCGCTGCATTAGTTTGGCACGAAGGTTGCCGACAAAGTTTGCATCATTCACACAAATTCCAAGATATTTATAGGAGCTACATAGTTCCAAGTCAAGAGGCAGAGGGTGAGCAGGACGAGGATTGAGAACCCTCGTCTTGTCAACAGATATTATGAGACCACAGTCCTCTGAGCAAATACATCCAGCAAGGCTTGGAGCCCAGGTTTGGTCTGTGTCATAATGCAGATATCATCAGCATAGCATATTACAGCCTCGTTTGGCTGAACTGGAATGTCAGCAATAAGCTTGTGCATCAGTATATTAAAGATCATAGGACTTAACACTCCTCCCTGAGGCATGCCAAGCTCAAATGCTCTCATTCCGGTACTTTTGACTCCCCTAAACAGAACACTGGCATACCTGTTGGACAGGTAACCCTTTATCCATGTCAGGAGGTTACCTTGGATGCCAAAATTAGCTAGTTGCTCAAGTATAATGTCTCTATTAGCTACATCAAAGGCTGATTTAAGGTCTATGAAGGCTGTTTGTGTCTTATCTTTTGAGTCAACAAGATATTCTGCAAAGCATGTCTGTGTGCTACGCCCGGGCATGAACCCATACAGATTAGGGGTGAGTTTGTCTTTGACTTGAAACATGAGACGGTTGAGAACAACTCTTTCAAGGACTTTACACATACAAGATGTGAGTGAAATGGGCCTGGAGTTTGGAGAGTTACCTTTAGGGATTGGTACTATGTTTCCTTGAGTCTATGTCATAGGCAGAATACCCTGTGTGAGGCTCATTTGATACAGGTCAAGCAGTGTATGGTTAGGGACCTCATTTAACAATCTCAGGGTGTTATAGGTTATGCCATCCTCACCAGGGGAGGACAACTTTAAGATATGCACAAAAAAATAAGAAGTTTGTCACAACCCATTTAATTTCTCTTCCCAGTAGAACCTATGAGTAGTCCATCCTTGGACAAGTCCATTCTAGGAGAAACAAACCATAGACAGAACTGGTTTAGGAGAAGTCCATCCTGGGCAGAAGTCCGTCTTAGGAGGAGTCGGCCCTGGGAGAAAACATGAGAGGAAGGAGATGACTGTGCGCGGTTGTGTGAAGATGAATAGGAGTCTGTTAAGTCCTCCGAGACGGTCTGTCCTCCCCTTCCTCCTCGTGGCTACCAGCGCCTTCGTACTCTTCATTTTCCAGTTAGTGTCTTACTTTACCAGCCAGTTAGTGTCTCTCTCTACCTAACAGTCAGTGTCTTACTCTACCTAACAGTCAGTATCTTACTTTACCAACCAGTCAAGTTTTACTCAACCAGCCAGTCAGTTTTACTTAACTTACCAGTTAGTCTCTTATTTCACGTATCAGTCAGTTTTGCTTTATCTTGCTCTATCTAACTTATGTCTCCTAACTGGCTTAACCTAAACCTAAACTTAACCTAAACCAAATCCAATTCAACCTAACCAAACCTACAGGGGTGTAGATCATTCTTGAAGTGCCACAAACAGGTTAAGTTAACAGTAAACAGATTAGGTTAACACACACTGTACCGTCACATGAAGGTCACTGAGCCACTCTTATCTTTCCTACAGCGGATACACCTTATCACTCCCTCCCCTGCCGATCCAGCGGCGCGCGACACACACCACTAGGAGGACGAGCGACGCGGAGACCAGAGGAGACCAAGACAGAGAAGCATGGCCCAGAATCCTCTGCTTGATAGTGACGTCACCACAGTACCACGAGGAGCGAGCCATCCACGTGGCGGCCACCTGGGCCACCCACTGTACCCGCGCTGTCTTCCTCACCACCGCCAACCACACACTCCTCCCTGACACCCTCCTCACCCCTGGTGCTCCCGCCTACCACCAGCTCTGGGACAAGGTCACACAAGGTCAGTACGGTCAGGAGCAGTAATTTCTACCCCTCTAGTCATCAGTTTGCTCTGACTCTCGCAACATCCTTACTTGCCCTGTGACCTCCTCCTCCAGGTCCCTAGCCGTTACCAACATCTCGTCCTTCTCTGACCAAATATCCCTCCTCCTAGAGAAAGTCCTGGCACTTGACATTATTAAGGACCTGCCACGCTTTGCCATAAACAGATGGATTGTACTGGACCCCCCCATCCCCTCACACACACACGCAATCATCATTCTGTCACGTGGTTACAGGACAGGAAACAGCGAGTGAGCATTAACGGCACCATATCCCATTGGAGCAACGTCACTAGTGGAGTTCCCCAAGGTTCAGTACTTGGACCATTATTATTTATTATATACATAAACGACATAGATATCGGCGTAGACAGCAACATAATTAAATTTGCTGATGACACTAAAATAGGACGTGTAATTAAATCTGACGAGGACTCTGCAAAATTACAGGAAGACCTAAACAAATTTTTCGAATGGTCTGAAAAATGGCAGATGAAATTCATTGTGGACAAATGTAAAGTATTCAGTATAGGAGATATATACAGGGAAACCAGATACCAAATGAATAACGATGTTATTGAGAAATCCGACTGCGAGAGAGATTTAGGAGTACTGTAATGGTAAGTAGGAATCTTAAGCCAATTAGACAATGTGTACTTGCTCAAAACAAGGCTAATAGAGTACTTGGGTTCATACAAAGGAGTGTTAATTACAAGACTAGCGAGGTCATCTTAAAACTGTATCTTGCGCTTTTGAGACCTCACTTGGATTACGCAGTTCAGTTCTGGTCACCGTATTGCAGAATGGATATAGAATCCTTGGAAAGAATTCAGAGGAGAATGACAAGACTATTCCCGGGCATTAGGAACCTTGAGTACAGAGATAGGTTAAAGCATCTTAATTTGCACTCCCTCGAGAGACGTAGAGTGAGGGGCGATATGATCGAGGTGTATAAATGGAAGTCAGGGCTAAAGAAAGGGGACATTACAAAGGTACTCAAACTATCCAACCACGAGGGAACCCGTAACAATGGTTTTAAATTAGACAAATTTAGATTTAGGCGCGAAATAGGTAAACATTGGTATGGAAATAGAGTAGTGGATGACTGGAACAAGTTACCAAATATCATCATTAACTCGAATACGCTGGATAGCTTCAAACATAGGTTGGATGGATATATGACCAATAGGGGTTGGGTGTAAATGGGACTGCCCAGTATGGGCCAATAGGCCCGCTGCAGTTTCCTCCATTCTTATGTTCTAATGTTCTTATGTATGTAAACTTGCTGATAAAACCCATGGCCCTTCAGGCACTGATGCCCTTAATGCATGAGTCACGAAGGCAAGCATGAACTCTGCATGCTTCCCAGTTGGGCGCTGCAGACGCTTCTGCGCTTTGCCTTGCACGGGATGCAAAGGGGTGCCCAATAAATTACCCTCCACCCCATTGCGGGGCAAATTGTAAATTGTTCCCCCTAGTAGCTGGAGCCACAGCAAGTGAAGACCTGGCGATAAACAAACTCTTCTCTCTCCCCCGCCCCCAGTCTAAACGTTGCTGTGTAGTTTTGGATCTATCGTAGCTGGCGATTTTGTATTGTGCCAATATTTTCCTTAACTCAGTGTGGCTCCGGCTACTAGCGGGGAGGTAGCAATTGCTGCTTCTGACTGTACATCATTTACCATCACCAGCTGTGGTACAGGTCAGTGCACTATCTCCTACCAGCATCTAATGAACAGGAAGGAAACCATCTGTTTTTGGGAATAGTTCAATTATTTCTTATAGACTGTGTCTGTCTGTGTGCGTGCGTGTGTCCCCCATGCCTCCATTCAAAGACGTGGATTTCAAGTAGGTGTTTGTGTGTCGGAATTACCACACAAATTTGTCAGAGATGAAATCCTCCCTTGTCTCACCACCTTGGGGAGAGATAGACGAGAGGCGGCGACCAGCTCACGCTCAGCTGATCTACTCAGCTATGAACGGTTCGATACTGACTATCTGGAGAAGTGTGCCCAGCTAAAATGTCAAGGATGTTTGATGATCGATATAAATTCAGTATCTGGCGTCGACACAGCTGAGGTGAGGAGACAGGTAAGGAGGAGGTGACAATTAAACTGGTGAGACTTTTACCTTTGTACTTAATATCAAAAAGGGGAAATAGTAATAAACTGATTGACTGATGAACCTTTGTTATCTGATGTTAACAAGTAATTGGTTCATTACCTGACTTTCTGAAGATCATTAACATCATCTTGAGTTACACCTTTACTGAAACTCTTGCTTAATTATGTTTCTTATTTTTTCACTTTTATTTATTCTCTTTATTAGTTCATGGAAGTTTATGCACAAAAGACTTGCCATTCGATCATACACTCGCCTCTCCAGCACTAGATAGACTCACCACTCAACCATACACTCACCTCTCCAACACTAGATAGACTCACCACTCGACCATACACTCGCCTCTCCAGCACTAGATAGACTCACCACTCGACCATACACTCACCTCTCCAGCACTAGATAGACTCACCACTCAACCATACACTCACCTCTCCAGCACTAGATAGACTCACCACTCAACCATACACTCCCCTCTCCAGCACTAGATAGACTCACCACTCAACCATACACTCACCTCTCCAGCACTAGATAGACTCACCACTCAACCATACACTCGCCTCTCCAGCACTAGATAGACTCACCACTCAACCATACACTCACCTCTCCAGCACTAGACAGACTCACCACTCAACCATACACTCCCCTCTCCAGCACTAGATAGACTCACCACTCAACCATACACTCCCCTCTCTAGCACTAGACAGACTCACCACTCAACCATACACTCACCTCTCCAGCACTAGATAGACTCACCACTCGACCATACACTCACCTCTCCAACACTAGATAGACTCACCACTCAACCATACACTCCCCTCTCCAGCACTAGATAGACTCACCACACAAGTACAATCACCATTAACCATACCACCAAAAAAACACACACTCTTTACAGGGTTCCTCTGGGCTTACAAACAACAGCAGGAGTTCGACTGGGTAGTAAAGACTGACGATGACACCTTCCTACTGGTGGAGAACCTTCGAGGGGCACTCTCCTCTCTTGATCCTCACCAATCTCTGGCCACTGGTGCTCTCCTCCGCACTGCAGACACTGTAAGTTGTCCTGTCTCTCTCCCTTCCTCCCATAATCACCCCTGGTTTCTCGGATTTCTATACTGTGATAATTCAGGAGGTAATTTCGAGCATGGAAGGCTTCATGGTATATATTTAGGGCCATGGAAAGCTTCATTTTATACATTTTGGGCCATAGAAGTCTTTGTTTTATACATTTAGGGCCCTGGAAGGAGAATTATGATATATTGGATGCCATGGAAAGCTTCATTTTATATATTTGGGACCATAGAAGGCTTCACTAGGTATACGAGTATTTGAGACCAAGAAAATTTTATTCAATACGTGTAGTGTGATGGCAGACTTCACTGGGTGTTATCAAAGTCACAGGACGTTTCACTGGGTACACTTGGTATATCTGAGGCCAGGGAAGGCATCACTGGGTATATATAAGGCCATTTAGGCTTCAGTAGATGTATTGTGGGCCATGGAAGGCTTCACTAGATGTGAGAATCTTGTAGCAGCCCCGGTTGTAGTTACATTACCAATTCATTAACATAATTTCTTCACTATATAAGCAAATATACGAACATTTTGAAACTGCTAATGATCTTAAATAACAAGAATTGTTTGTTATTATAAAAAAATTTACCTTTGGATTGTTTAATATTTGTCCTGACAGCTATACAGCCGAAAATAGATCCATCAATCACAATCACCATTACATACAGCCTTACTTTACCGAGTATTACCAGGTAAAATTGCCAGTACGGTACTATGCATCTTTGGTTGGCTGTACTGTACACAGAGGGTGAAAGTATATAAACAATGGTAACCTGTAAGTCGATTGGAACAAAGGCTAACCCAACAAGGCCTTCATGTACTTATATACATTAAGATGACTAGAAAATTGTTGGGAGGTGTTACCACGTCTCATCTCCCACAGAACACGACCTTCCTCTCGGGAGGGGCGGGTTATGTTCTCAGCCGCGGCGCCGTCGTCAGGCTGGTGGAGGAGGGACTGAAGGATCAACAGTGCAGGAAGGCCCTCAAACTCGACTCCCGTGAGGACGTCAACATGGGCCTCTGCCTCTCTCACGTAGGTGTGTCCTCTCACACAAGACCAGTACCCTGTTGACTCACGTGGATGGTGTAGGTGAATCTAGATGAGACTACTACAGTTAAATTCCACGAATATTTTGCTGGCCCATTTAGATGTTGTGAATATGTGTCTTAATCACCAATCTAATCACACTATCTTGAACTCAGCCCACTGTAGTGAAAGTAAATGATGCCTTTTTCCCTCTTCGTATGCTTAATTCTCCAGTCCAGCACGTGACAACAAATTCCACGTCATTACTTCTCATACCATCGTCTTGATCGCCATGCCTGTGTTTTCAAATTGATGTTGACATTTTACAGTTTCCTTCTTTTAAGTTCATGTTTATTCCGACAATCCTGAGTTTTTGTCAGTATTTTTATTGGATTTCCGTATTTTCCTCAAGAGTTTCTCAGGAGTGACGTAACAACAAGAACCTCCCTCAGGTGTGAAGCTTCTGGACTCGCGAGATGCCTCTGGTCGACAAAGGTTTTACTTATACCCGCCTCACAAGATGGTCGACCCCCGCCAGACGGTCAAGAACCCCTGGCTCCAAGAGAATTCCGTTTTTCCTCATAAATTCGTGAGTTATCTCCTAACTTCTCCATTGTTTTAATTGTGCGATCCTTTCCCCATACCATCTCCAGGTGCCAGAAGGTTGTTGCACTGATTGGTTCTTGTGCTGGTCAGGGTAAGAGCCGGAAATATGTCTTGTTTCAACACTTCATGACGTCACCACCAATAACAAAATAAAGGATGTCTTATATGAGGTGCTCTTACCGACTTGATAACAGAGGGCGTAAGTATGCAGTTTTCTCACGGTAGTTCTCTCAACGCTCAATAGATAGCGTGTGAGTACACTTTTTCATTACCTTTGGGTGAATGTGACGTTTGTGGAAGGAGCGATGTAATGCTAGGATCCCATGTGTACGTGCAGTATATTCGTGATGCGCAATGCGTGGTGCGTGGTGCGTATTCACTGTTCCCATGTAACAGTTCGTCAGATCTGATGCATGGTGCGTGAATTTTTTTTTTCACTGCAAGGATTCATATCGTGTGGAGCTCTGTGTACAGTAGGTTAGTACGTACAGTACAGGGGGAACTCCTTAACGAAGTGCTTGGGACCATGAAACTGTGTTCTTTATAAAAGGGATTTATTTTAAGAGAGCTATTTATAGAGAGATATCACTGTATCTTGTTTTGTGTTTATTAATTACGCTATATGCACAAACAGTTATTATTAATCCAGTCAACCCGGTAGTCCTGATAATTTAACAAGAATACACTTGGTTAAAGTTCAAGAGTCAGAGGGTTGTCCAGCTCTTTACTGTAGTCTCTTATTGCGCTCTTATCGTGCACTAATTTCAGTCTTGAAGTGCTACATGCATATGTACATAATGTCATGTTCTTCTGTGACTGTTCTTTAAACTTGTTTTTATTCCAAAGAGCTAATCAAATATAACTATAATGTATATTAATATGTTGAACCCCTTGTCAATATAAAACATACACAACTACAAATAGCATTTTCAGAAAACAGGTTCATGATAATTATGTTCAAGTTGTGCAGATCATATTTCTGTTTTGTTTTCAGAGGAAAAATGTCCCCCTGTTTGTCTAAATTTGGTCGTATATGACATTGCGTGGCATAGTGGTGACGAATACAATTTGGCGTAGAAACACAAACAGACGCTATGAAAACGCGTGGATGCAGTTGAGAAAACCCCTCGTCATCCCTGGCGTGATACTTGTGTGATGGGTGTTCACCGTCCTTGGGAACACAAGTCACAAGACATCGCGCATCACACAATAAATATACATGGAAACACTCCAACTTGTTTTCCATGAATTTTATCAATACGCATCACGCATTATGAACACATCGGGTCCTAGCTTTTAAGACAACATGACCGCCAAAAGCTGAACAAAATGAGAATCTAGATCTTCAAAATGTTTAAGACATGGGAATTATCATCATGTGTTATCTCGTATTATCTCGTGTGTTATGTTATTATCATGTTTATCTGTTGGTATCAGAAGTACTAAAATAAACTTAAAGGGTTAAGTTTAAGGTAGACGTGTAAGGTTAAACGAGGCTGTAAGACTAAACTCGAGGCTTTAAAGACTGAACTTGAAGATCTAAGGCCATAACTAAGAGGACTGAGACTAAAGGCGAAGAAAGACAAAAGAGAGGCTTAAAAACTGAACTTAAAATAAAACACTAACTAAAAAGACTTGCGTTCGTGGTAAAACAATAACTTATAAGAGGTGGTTTTAAGACCTGAGCTGAAAGACTTGGACTCGACTTTGAAGATGAAGACTTAAAGGGGTAAAAAGAATTATTTAGGCTTTAAAGACTAACCCAAATTATTATAAATATGTAAATTTATAGATATATGTAAAAGACTATGCAACTAGAGCTCTAAAACCCTGATATTGTCACCTTTTCCTCCTCCAGGGGTTCGCTGAGCTGAGTGATGAGGTGATTAGCTTCCACTACGTCGATGCCCACACCATATACCTTCTCTACTATCTCATCTACTTCGTTAACCCCACCGTTTCCGCCTCCATCTCCACATTCCGTTTAGTCTCCGAGGTCCAACTCCACCCTCAGTCCCTTCCACCACCCACAATTACGGTCACAGGCACCTCTACCCTCAGTCGTACTCAGGACCCACAGCCGCCACCCTAACGACACCACCTTCACGTTAGATCCTACCACACGAAGTCACAACGGACGTCAGACATCACTAAACAGGCTCAAGAACTCTTTCTGGCAAAGACTCCATAAACAGTTCCAGGTAGGCTCTTGGATTCTTTACATACGAGACCTCTTATTATAGTATTAAACAGGCTCTGAGATGCTCGCCAAGTAAGCCTCCAACGCAGTTAGTCATACATCCTGCTCGTGGAAAAAATTGACAAAGGATGGTGACTTCTTTGATTACAATCTTCACCTACCACCATATAATCAGAGGATTTACTGGTTGAATGTTAAAAAAATGAAACACATTTGAATGAGTGAAGTTTATGAGACTAAAAGATCGGTGAGCTCTTTCAAGACAAGACTTGACCAACACTGGAGCGGGTTCAGGTACATTCAGGAGCCGGTGCATGCCCAGTGTTTGCCAACAGTGCGTGACAGAGACGTGACCGATCGCCCAAGCGGCTAACAAGCCAATCAGTGGCGAAGAGGATAAAGGTAATATAGATACTACTTTTTTTATTGCATACTTTTAAGGACTCACTCGAGATCATAATTGTTTCATAATTAAACTCACTCAAAGGCTTTTAAAAAAATAGTAAATTTGTCTCAATGAAATGTATCGATAACAACTAAGAGCTGAACATTGCACAATGATTGTAACTCCTCAGTAATATAAGGAAGGACCAGGATCACCAGACGAACATTAATGATTACTTGTAAAATTCATCACAAAAGATGTAATTGACTTCACATCTCAGCTTAATTGAATTATTCCTCTATGATATATGTCCCCTAATAATACTCCCTTATAGAATAAAGCACTATTTACCACCTTACCTAAGTTACCTTATGGCCACCCCAAGTAGAGGTAGTCATGCCGAGGGAAGGAGACCAGTGTAGCACCCCTCCTTTTTTCTTAGTTTAATCAAGGGCTAGGACAGGGCTATTTTGAAGCTCGGTATTATTGGTGTGTTACCGGCTTGCTGATATACAGTACATGACATCCTGAACACAGTGACGTTGTGTCAGGAGGCGATTCTTGCCCCACACTACCATTTTCAAAGTAGCTGTGATTGATGCCGGCTACAACCCCAGCTGGTCTACAGCGCCCTGTACTACGACCTAGTTCTCGAATTTGACCTTGGCCATCACGACCCTCTTGTATTGCAACTAATGTATTACTATCCTGAGGCACTCCTGCAGGGGTAAGAGGGTTTTCCTCGGCGTTTTCAGTGAGTTTAGGATCACGATAAAAAAACAGACGTAAATGAGTGATGTATTGATTCTTTAATAAAATGAGTTTTAATATGTATATTATGTGTTTTATCTATTAACAGCCTTTAGTAGTAGTATTAGAATATTGAAAACTTATCGTATTATTATTTACACTAACATTAATTTTAATCTAGTTGTCGCTAAGAATAATACTTTAGGCTGGTAGTACCTTAATATTATTGTTTACATACGACGTCAGAGGAAGCTTTAAATTGACAATATCAAGTACTGATTTATTTTTTTATTGGGAATTAATTACATATACAATAAAAATACATTATTGGTATTCACTACGGGTTTATTATATACAGGGTAGTAGATAATATAACAGAGCTAAGAAGATAACACAAGAAGCCACAAGACATTTATAATTGTGGTCCTCAAGTTTAAATGCCTGACTAATTCGGTAAAGTAGATATCTGTGTCTATAGGTAGAGTAAATATAAGTATTGTATATATCGCACTTGTAGGTACTAGAGTGAGCAGCTAGGTAGATATCTATTCATTAATATAATAAAAGTTTACTGTTTGCTTAGGTACAGTAAATAGATAACTGCACGTTTACAGGTGTGGGTAATACCCTAGGAGACTGTCTCCCAATACTAATAACACCCATTTTACGAAACTATTCTGTTGTGATGCTAAAATATTTATATAGTACAATAACCACTATCATTCATACAACTTTTTCTTTCTTATACTGTACAGTACATTATTTCCCTCTGCATGTATCGAGATTGAGATAACAAAATGCCATGTTTTATTACACATTATTAATTACCAGTTATGTACTGTACAAGCACCATAATTATTTGTTCTTTTGCACTTGAAGGAAACATTGGTTTGGTTATGAACATTCATTAAAATTAAACAAGTACATTTTGATTTAAAAGGCATAACTGATCTGTTACATTGCTCTTGAGTACTACAATACTTTGGAAACTTTTAATAATTCTTCACTACTTCTAAAGAAAATATTAAGACTCTTCTTGAATAAGTAGTGTGTTCGATATTTAGAATATAACCTTAGAGCCTTGTGAGCTGTTTCAGTAAGTTTTGAAGATAAAATGAATCCCGAACAGAAAAGTCCTCCACATTTTTGGGATGCATATCATTACATACCAAACCACATAATGTCCATTGTACTAAACATGATGAACAATAAAAACTTTAAACCATTACTCAGAGAACATCACAGAACCCCAGTAAACCCAACATGAGTACTAATGGTGTTAACAGATGCAGGACACCAAAGACACCAAGAGCATTAACAATTCAATCTCATATAAATATATATTTTTTACTGTGTGGCAGACTTGGAAAGGAACACATAACAATGTATCCTAACCTCTAAAGAGTATTACAATTGATTTAAAGCAATATAATAATAAATAATGGTTGTCCCTCGTGTAATGAGGATGGCGGGCCCAAAGGCCACCTAGACGTGAATTTGTTTAAGGTGTAGAAGCTGTTGCCAACACAACAACCACACCTTAAGTTAACGAGTTGCATGAGGCGTCAAGGAATAGTCCGAGAAGATCGGACAACTCGCCAACTGCACTGGCTATCCATTACCCCAGAACATGATCCTCAAATCGATTAACATCCAGGTTCCCAATTACTGCTGGGCAGACAGAGGCAAATGGCGTTAAGAAACTTGCCCATAGTTTCACCCTGCCCGGGGATCGAACCCGGGTCCGCTTGCTTGTGAGGGGAGCATGCTGACCATTACACTACAGGTCGCCATATAGTGTACAACATTAAGAACCTTGAGGTAGCATTAAAGATGACAAGAACTAGCACCATTACTCCAATTTTTGTGAGTCTATAAAAAAATATTCATGTTCTTCAGAAGCCTTCAGGATAGTTCTTGAAGATGATGAAGAGGAAAACAGCTATTCCCACACAGATGGCAGGGGCAGCTATGGGTACTGGTAAGATGAAGTCATTATTCCCTCGTGCTGCCTTGGTCTGTTCTGCTGTCAGGGATAGTAGACACACATCAAGGTAAACCACCTCGATCATCACACTACAGGTATGGTATATGCCTACTACTAATTACACACACAAGTAACATATCTTAATCATCACACATTAAGTATGTCATTATATCACAAACAAACTACTAAAAAATATCACTATATTAAGTACTGTATTGTTACTTGGAGAAAATGTATACAGTATAATACAATACAATACAATATAAAAGTAAACAGTAGCCTTCACAAGTAAAGTAGATGTACAAAGTACTTGGTCTGGCTGCAACCCAAGTCGAAAATTTTAAAACTAGTGTTCCTAAGATAAAATTATTACGTACTCTATTATGAAATTTTGTTCTTAGAAAAGCTCAATATTAGAAATATTTGTTCAGTATGGAGGATATTCAAGTCGACAAACTGTATTGATGTACAGTACGGATACCTGCTAAATGAACAAAACTTTAAGTTGAATATCAGTCTAGTACAGATGATCAGGTAAATTACACATTGCAGAGGCAGGCAGGGGAGTGTTTGTCATAGATAGATGTGTTTCTCATCACAAAAACACTTTTAATCACACTTAAACACAATTGTACCATCCTAAGTCTGCGGTCTATGAAATTTTCCTGTATAAATAGCAAGCACATAGTAGGTGAGTTGCTTGGAATGAGAAATAATACTGTGCTCATTAGTTACTTGACAGGAATACAGTACATATTGTCTGATTGGTTGATCAACAGAGCCTGAATATATCACCATTGTAATCAATTCCTACAAAAAGTAACAAAATATGATATAGTTTTAAAAAATTATGTAAATAAAAGTAAAATATCCAAATTTCAAAATACAGTACTGAAGCAAGAGTAAATACTGTACCATAAAAACCTACTTGAATAGAGTAATACAGTATACAGTAGTACAGTATTGATACTTCACTACTGTTTATTGTACGGTAGTTGCAAAATTTTCAAAATGTCTAAGTAAGAACAAGTCATCTGAAGATCAAATAATTATCCAGCAAAATTAACTGGCATGTGCATATCACCTATCCATATATACTGCACTGTACATGTGTACCCATATGCACCTTTTCTTGAAACAATTTCCTGCAGGGTGGCTGGAATCAAGAGTGCTGCTGCATGGCATTCATACTCCCTAAAGAATGTGTGTTTTCCTTCTACAGCACAATCCCAAGATTTCCTTCTACTTTTTCCCCTGTCACATCATACAATCCAGTACAGTATCATCCATTGGCACCATGTGGTATGAAAATCCATTAAGAACTAGTGGACAAGCCAATTCTACAAATTCAAGACAGACAAATGCATACCGATTGCTATATTCACTCATCTACCTTCCAGAGCTGGAGAATAAAAATACAGTAAAACCCTCTTAATCAGGACTAATTGGGGAGAAATCCAGTCCATATTAAGCAAATTTCCAAATACTGTAAAGTGATTTTTGGAGGGGCTTTATTTAATCTGGAAAAAGTCTGGATTAACCAAGAAAAATCTGGATGGGAATCCGGATTGCCATCTGGTACACATGAACACCAGGCATCAGCCCCAGCTACTGTGATTACAAGGTTTACAAGCCAGTTGTACTGCTATAGCCCTTGTGTGTGCATCTCTTAACTACTGTGGACTATTTGCAACTTTGTGGACAAATTATCATGGCATCCAAAGGCAAGATAACTTCAAAAGGAAGTCAGAAGAGGGCCAGAAAGGAGTTTAGCTTGAAGGACAAGCAAGAATTATATATACAGTAGGTTAGTGATTCAAGTGTTTATTTTTTTTGCCACCACATGGGTAGAACCGTACTATTTCGTGTTAATCCAGATTAACAGAAATTAGTCCATAGTGGTTTGCCAGTCCAGATAAAACAGAAATCTGGATAAAAGAGTCTGGACTAAGAGGGTTTTACTTAAGAGAATCACAGTGAGCAAATCTGAAACAAGCACAGACAATTCCATTGCTGCTCCAGTTTTTATTCACAGGTTACCAGACAACACTTCCATTCATTCTGTTTTAGAAACTTAATTTAATACAATGCCATGTTACAAGTATGTGCCAAGTAAAGCTACAGTATACAGTATTTACAAGGGGAAAAGTACAATATAGTATCTAAAGAGTTGTCCAATCAAACCATCTTTTCTTTCATTTGAATATATACAGAGTGCCTATGCCTGACGTAAAAGAAATTCTGACTGCAAAAAATTTCTTCTCTGAACATTTCCTATTTTTGTTATTATCTGGGATTCAAATTCATGAGTTAAGACTTGAACTCTATGTTGAGTACAGTACAGTACTCACTTGGATCAATACCAGATACCAACTATTTATGGTCCACTACAAAAAATGTGTTATGAAGCTTTTATAAATTCATAACACACACAAGTACATTCTCTTCTTTGTTGACAGATTTTCTGTGTACAGTATACACAAGTTTCACAGTCTGTTATAACAAGTCTCTAACACTGACCCATGTAAGTTTCTCAGCTCTGGTTTATACAGTAACACAGTACAGTATCTCCCTTCTCATAACTCAGCCTATGTCAACCTGATCTCTGAGACAACTCAAAGTCTGTGAGCCATCCAATCATCTGGGTGTTCTCCCATGGTCAGCTGAATCAGTCGACCAGCTTTTATATTTTTGGTGACTCACAGGCGCCTTACGGCTGTGTTTTTGGATGTTTAGTTAGTCTGTATCATGTTTACTGCAGGCCCTGTACTATATGTTTAAGTTGCGAATACCTTGATAGGTCTGTGAGAAAATATCCAAGATATGATGCTGGGAACACAAATACAATAATTTTTTCTTTATTCGGAGTGAAAAAATATTCTCGTCTTATTTATATTTTTTATGCTTAAGTTAAAGCCAAAACAAAAATGAAGCCAATGATATATAAATCTTGTAAAAATATAAATTCTTTTGGGATAAATTAGCTACACATCAAAGATGACCAGACCTCATGTAAATGGTCCCATATGACTTTTTCATGGTCACTGAAACTTAAAACTTAATGTGCACATGAGAGGGTTAACTACATAGTTACTGTAACTGACATACCTACACACCAATTGTTCCAGGTTCAGAAGACCATACAGTACTGCTAGTGTGAGACAGGTTCAACTGTCCATTCTCACTTGTCTACCAACGTGTTTCTCATTCTTTAGTTATCACTATACGACTCTTACTTTATCTACCTTCATCTGCACACATTATAAAAATCTTAAAAATTACCCTTTACTACTATACATACCCCTGGCTTTATGTTCCTCTTGCTTCTTCCTCCTCATGATTATTGTCATCAACTGCTTGTGATAAACAGTCCACAAGCTTATCAGACACTGGCTGTCCACTACATACTGTATATCATCTGTTGAGTGATGCTACTACTGTATTGTCTTCCTCAGATTGAAACTTTCTTTTCATTAAGCTTTCAGTGATACCTGTTAGGAATAATGTGAAGAATTCATTGTTAAGATACTGTTGATTCCTTTCACTCACTGTTTAAAAGTAGAAAGACTTTGAGGTAGTTAAAGTAAAGAAAATAAGGTTGAGCAGCAGCTACCTAGGCTGAGATATCACTGATAAGACACATCTCAAAGGGTGACTTGTGTTATCTGAGCTACTACAAGATAATTTACTAATGAATAGAAAATATGTGAGGTTTTCGCTTGACATTTTACACTAAATATAAACCTTCTTCTTTGTGTAGTTGCTTCAGTTGCATACACTTTACCAATCGGTTTTCCCAGTTTCTGCAGTAGTTATATCAAATAGCATCAAAACTTTTACGCTTTCATCTTCAATCAATCAATCAAGGTGTCATCCTGATGTCTGAGGGCCGGTAACCACAACCCCTCACTCCAGACAATATCGGACTGTCATTTAGATTTTGTCTCTATATTGGCCACAGCTTTTATTAACATTCATACATCCCAGTTTCACCTTAAGTCATCAATAAACTTTCAATTTCACAAAAGAAGGATCACATACGGTACTGTATTTGATTGTCACTAAACTTATTACAGTACCAGGGGTCAGGTGGTTCGATTCCTGGGTGCTCCCAGAGCAATGCTTTTTTATCTGAACTCATCGAGACTAATGATGGTTCAGATACCTAGACGAGCCTACAAGAACATGAAATAATTTAACCTACAGTACTATACAAACACCTTAAATGTACAAACAAACACAAATAATAAAGATATGTACTAAAATATATACAGAAGTTTCACTCAAGATCTTGAAATGCTATGTACAGATGCCTAATTATGCTCACTTTCTGCACTATACTATAAAGAACAATTCGCTTTTGGTATCATGTTTTATCACTCTTGTTATCAACCATAGTTATAAGTTCACAAAAAACTAACAATACTATAAAAAATAGCATTAAATTAAAGCCAACAACTTCCATCAACCAAAACACCCTGCACTCTTGTAAACAAAGCAGTTACATGAACGAATGACTTTGGTTGCATTCGGAGTTTTGAACTAAATTTGAATTTTACTGAACAAGACCAAAGGGGACAAAGTACAGATAGTTGGAATTTGGATATAAGGAATTGCATTGTGAACGCGGTCAAGAGCAGTACCGACCTCGCTGTATCCACTCTGTCCCTGATGGACAGTCATGCCTATGTGACTCACTTTCACTTTCTTTTTTCACAATCTGTCTGATGTCAAATTTGCAAAAAAGCTTTAGTTTGGTTTTTTACAACTACAGTACAATAAATGCAAAAAAATATTGCATCAAATGTTTTACAAAAGAAACAGCAAAAAATTATATTATTTATGGCAAGTGGATAAAAATCATTCACTAAGCCACGTAGTGTCATTGCAAAGCTGTGAGTCGTCATTCCACAAACACTGTTTCTGGACATTTATGTCCATATACAAAAATGCCTAATACAGACAGACAATCAACCTTTTCTAGTGACGGTACCTAGAAAAAAAAGGCACGTGAATCATCTATGTAATACTGTATGTTTAATGTGGGTTTTTAGGGCATTGGTCCCTTAGTCATGTAAAAACTGTTACTGTACTTGCTGGATAATTTTGCTTTGTGATCTCTGGGTCCATATGTAAGTGTTGTACATACGTATTTGATACTTTTGAGTTCATGGTTCCTGGATCTTACCTAGCACAGTAAAACCTTGATACATCAAACTAATTGGGACAGATCCCAGTCCAGAAAATTGGGGGGCAGTCAGGACAAAACACTGTTTCAAGAAAATCAATTGTTATAATGTTATTAAAGCGCTTCAACAACTAAGATCTTTAAGTGTTTAAGTAGGCAAATCAAGCCATCATGTATCACTCAAAGGTAATGAATAACATTGCTAGGAAGGTAACTCCATATCAAACACTATACTGTACAGTATATATTACAGTGACTGTTGTAAGCTGAGTGAATACATTTTTATACAGCTTATCCTTTTATTTCCAAGTCAAATTACACATTATATATATTGGATCTTTTTCTATTGTTGAAACTGTTATATTAACCATGATGAATCACACTCCATAAGAGGCTGATCATACGAGAATATAATACTTAATCAAAAAACCTGGCTAATGTGGTAATGCCCAATCAGCCCCTGACCCCACAACCTGCTTACATACACAGTGTCTTAAGCTCTCGTTAGGCCTACAAGAAATCTGATTAGACCACATTACAGTATACAGTTATTGTTTTCGTAAGATTTTTTTATTTTACCCATTTCGTAAAATACATGCTCTACAGCATTTTAACCCATTTCTTAAAAACGTCGAGTATCCCCATTAAAGATAACACGTACTCTAATTAAGTTCACGTAAATGAGTGTAGGTAGCGAGGTGCAGAACACTGATACTATAAGTATGAAGGTAGGACTCGAACCAAGACACATGCCGTGCGACTCCAACGCACAGACGTTCAATTGCATGTTTGAACACACATTGTCCTGACAGATGTTAGATTTTCCAGTGTATCAAGGTTTTACTGTGGTGTTTTAATAAAGGTTTGATAGTTCATACAGTAAACAAGTTAACTTAACTGTTGGTTCAAGGTATACTGTACAGTATATGTAATCTAGTGATATTCTACCAGTTCTTCACACCAACATTAAAATGATCTCCCAATCTTTCAAAAAGAAAAGAAAATCAATCTAGTTCATTCACTGTTTTCCATGGCTTATTCCCCCATTCCTTTGGTATAATTGTTGCCACACTTTTCTTGGCACTTACAGTATCTACATAATTTAATGTTTGTCTTGTACTGTATTAATTGGATGGACTGCAGGGTTAGCTTCCTATAACTACAATATTACATGTACCGGTAATATAAAAGGAGGCAATCTCTTACAATTACTTGGACAGGCATAATCGATTACATTTAACCTGTCTGAATAACTGCAAAGTGAACATACATATAGTGCATTTTTTCCCAGCTGAGAAGAGGTGCTCCGCCCCCTCCTCAAAAGTTACAGCCGATTGGCTGCTGCAAATCTGTCTGATTTCGTCCTGAAGTAATGATGTATTTCTAAACGAGTTTACAGTATTCATAATCGTTGAGATGACTGTTTCTGAGGAGTAAGTTATTTAGCTCATTAGCCCTTTCACTACAGGGACACTACTCTTGATATTTTATTTGGTTAATGCCAGACAATTTTACTCAGCACAGGGGATCACATACACAATGGGTTAATGGCAATGCAGATAGAGTGCACTAAATACTGTACAGCATACTATGCCTTTGGTAGGGACTAGCATTGCATTTGCCAACCTTCACGGCTGGGTGGACACAGCACAAACCATCAACCCTTATGGCAACAGGTGACTGCTAAACTCCTTTTGGAAGACTCCTTAATTTTAGGGTAACTAAATTATTATAGTTTCTAGTGAAGTGGGTAAAATATGAAAGCATTATAATTCAACACTTTATTACAAAATACACACCTCATATATATCACTCACTCAACTTTTCACCAGGGCAGAGCAATAAGACACCAATACCCACTTTGTAGAAAATAAATTTATCAAAGCAAAGTGATATAAGACTTGAATTACGAATTCACTTAAAATATTATTATAACTGGCTCTTTCAAGTACAGTGTTATTTCCATTGGTTTGGTTAATGTTAAAACAACCCTGAACATACAAAACATTAATATCATAAACATAAAAAGTAATGTAAATACCTGTAAATAAAGTGATGTTAAACAATACAAAGTAATGTTAAAAATAAAACTTTAATTACAGATTTTTGTGATGAATGTATTGGGATCCTGTTCATAAAAAAAGGTGTTCGTAAGTCAAGCATCGTAACTTGGCGACAAATTGTACACAGTACTCTTAAATAAAATTAAAATAATACACATTTCAGCTATATATGAAAATTCATTCATATTAAGGATATTAATTAACTTGTACACTCATAATAGGACTGAATAACAACAAACGTCAGAAGGATGGATGATGATGGTAGGACATGATTCATCTAACCTACGAGTGAAAACAACAATTATAGCTCCTCCTTCTTCTTCTTCTTCTTGGATTTGTTAGCTTTGGGATTCTTCCTGGCCTCTGCCTCCTTCAGTTCTTTCTTCCCCTGAAAATGTATTACCAAGTTAAGCAACATGTTGGTTATAGTAGGATAGATAGATAAAGCACACTGCTCCTATGTGTTACTGATGTCCCCCTTTACTGTAAAGAATATTAAACTATTCAGTCTTTATTAAGGACCCACAAATCTACCAAAATATAAATGGCACGATGCTCAGTTTGTGTGATTAAACTTTGACACAAAATACAGTTTCTTAGATGGCACTTTTGAAACTTTTTACCAATCAATTTTCATGCTCTCAATATGCCCATACCACTTCTGCAAACCTGAGTCAACTTTCTCGACAACCTTACTTTTCATTTACATGTTACCTCAACACTACTTTTGTTGTATAGTTTTATATTCATATAAAATATCTTCACTGGAAAATTTAAGGCATTGAACCAAATGGGAAACCTTAATTCAAAATTAGAACCATTCCAACACAATGATGGATGTATGGCTAAATATTTGGTAAAATATACCTGGATCAACACTGCCAGCTTACCTCCGGAGTATGACGTCCGTGGTGCACTTTGTTCTCCATCGAACACTCCTGCAGCTCCTGCTGCTCCACCAGGAAGTCCTTAGCATCCCAGGCCTGGGAACCATCCTTGAACATGAAAATTGCCCGCCTCTTGTCCACCATATATCTGCCATTAAAAATAAAAATTTTCAAAGGGAGTTACAGGTATCCTTCATTTAGTGATAATTCACTTAACGTTAATTCGGTTTAGCAATACAAAAAATTTTACACCATTTCGCAATGAACATTAGATCAAAATTTGGTTTAGCGACAGCTCGACTCCCTGGGAAGGGGAGAAAATGGAGACGAGGTGGCCTGTGAAATGACACATTGCCATTGTTTCATGTAATGAAACTATATAAGTTGTGGAAAAATCATTACAATACTGCACTCTAATGTGCTTTAGAAATAAAGAAAATATAATATAAAACTATAAAATATGTAAAATGAAGAGAATGGGTGTGTGAAGTGAATGTATGTGTGGAGGCAGTGGACTGCAACTGCATCGCCACCATGCCATGCTCTCCCTTCCCCCTAATGCGACATCACAGCATACACCTAATGCAGCGGGGCAGCAACACACATTTCTAAGTCAGCTGGGTGAATGCCTGGCTCAACTATGTTACGTCACCCAGAGAATGTTTTGAGCGTGGAAGGAGTTACTTTTTGTACATAAAATTTGTGCCATTGTATTTTATGTTATGCTATGCATCAATTTTACTTTTGATCATAGCAATTTTTTTTATTTTTGACGTATGCACTTGAAATTTGTTCAAATTAGATTCGCCTTGTGCTCACCAAATCGTTCAATTCTGAACCACATCATTCATAAAAATTTTGGTGTTAATAAATCAGTTGTTTAAAGTCAAAACTTTTTATATAATTTTTTTTAATATGTATTATTATTAGGGGGTACTGTAGTGTACTCGGCGTTTTCCGCCTGCTGCCCGCCCACCATGCTTCGCCGTTATCCATCACTTACAAATAATTTTGCTTAACGTCAGGGTTTTAGGGAACACAAACCCATCGTTAAATGAGCAATACCTGTACAGTATTAGATGCCAGTAGATGGGATGAAATGTATTAAACATAAATAATTGCTGTACTCGGTAAAATTTCACATTTGAAAAGTCATCTGTAATGAAGGATAATACAAAAGACTGAAAACATGGGAGCTAAAAAACATTGTGTGAATGAAGTACTTGCATACAAACAAAGTTGTTGTGACTTGTATTGTATGGATATAAATGAAAAAAAAAAAATTATACAGTTCAGTACTGGGTATGTACGTATTCCTGTAAAAAAATAAAAGGGACTTCGGTGAAAATTTCAAGACCTACTGTACTGTGTAAAAATCATAACAAATGCATCCAAGAAATGTGCAGAAAATTAGAAAATACTGTGAACCAGAGATTTACAGGCAGGGTTAAATATTCCTTAATACTACCAGTAGCAGTTACAATCAAAAGAAATTTGACACGAGGACTATACAACAGAATATCACATTGTAGTAAAAAGCTTTTCACTTTCATGCAGACCTAGAAGCAGAAATTATTTTTTTATATTCAGTCACTTTAAACCAGACAGACATTGCAGATAAACTGAAAGCAAACAATGTTCCTTTGGACCTGCAGAGTCAGTCAGAAGTTACAGAGAGGAAACAACTTAATTATATAGGGACAGACACAGTTAACTATATTATGTGGAAGGGCATCTAGTCACTAGCAGTTATAAAACCTGTTTGAGAATAGTTGTGCACTTAATATATTAATATTAATCACTTCTTAACTAAAAACCCAGACTGTGACACATGTGTACAATAGCCAAATGTGTGTTCTGCCACACCACATAGCCATGGCAGTAGAGTCCACAACATACACGCTTACCTCTCGGCCTGTATGTGGTTGTTGAAGAGTGAACCTTGCCACAGCTTAGTCACTTCTTCAGCTCGCTCAGGGCTCAGCTCCTCCTTCACCTGTACAAACATCATGAGTGTACGGCCCTTCTTACTCATCTTTAAAAGTTCTTCTGGATCTCCAATATTAGAGGGATCAAAATTCAACTTGGGTTGGGGTCGCAGGTGCTCTGGCAGTTCATCCTCGGGTAATGGTTCTTCATCTTCCTGGATAATGTGTTTGGTAAACATTACTGCATGATTAAACTTCATCTACAAAAACAGATCTATATTTATTAATGACCAGATAAAATTGTGTAAAATTGTCCCATGAACTATAACCGTCTTTTTCAAGCCAACACCAATAATAACATATTTCATGTACAAGTCTAAGTTTGGGGGAGCTTTTGATATTCTAAACATTAATTCAGCACTTTGCATCATCACTAAAAACTAAGAATCAATATAGAGTTCCATGCTTGGCAACTAATAAATATGATAAATATTTACTTTTAGACAACACAGGAATGAGTTTTATCTTTACAATCATTAGTTTAGACAATTTTCAGGATATTTTTATTCTATAACATTTCCTACTCAAATGATGGGATAATTTTACTTAAGGACACGAGTTCATAGGGGTTGTCCTCACTAACAGTAACTTACGTCCCACTGGTCCAATAGTCTCTCCAAGTCAGCATCACTATAGTCTCTGATATTCTTTTTGGCCCAGGCAGGTTTATCAGCCCCGTCGAACTTCTTACACCATGACAACGACAAAAATATAGCGAAGAGGAACACCCATACGACGCCCCTCAGTCCCTCCATCACGGTTTGTTTACCTCACCGGCTGTCTCGTCTCTTATATTACCTCGGCTGGTTAATACTTACCTCATATTTAAGATTTTTTTCAGCAAATATAATACTCTTCTTCAATTATAGAGGAGAAAAATACAATATTTTTATATCCTAAACTTTAATAATTCTCTAAAGTATCAGTTTTAATGTTGGTTGGTTGGGTATTAATAAATGGAGCTTATCACACGTCACCTTAACTGGGGAATGTTTTATTTTAGATTTATGTGTGAATTAATAGGAGTATTTAGTGAAAATTAATTTCAACTGAAGCATACAGTATACAGTACAGAATATATACATAACTTTAACTTCGTATGAGTCACGTATATAGCGTTAATAATTACCTTACAAATTGGTGGTTATAACTATAGTTATATCAGGTATTTCATTATATATCTTGTAAATTAGTGCATTTGGACATTAATGAGAATGAGTAGCAATGGTCTATCATGTGCATGTGACTAAATTAACCCACAAATGCATAATCATATATTTTATTGTAACATGAAACTATAATGCTTATGTAGTCATGCTATTTCTAAATGGAAATTCGATTGTGATTTATATTATTATTTTATATCTTCTCACTGATTATTATTATTATAATTATTATTATTATTATTATTAGTAGTAGTAGTAGTAGTAGTAGTAGTAGTAAAAATTATAAAAAGGTAGACCTTTTTTGAGTGAGAATTGTAAACTCTTAGAATAATCTGCCAGAGAGTGCTGTGACGGCATCGAGTGAGAGCTCTTTCAAGGCCAGATTTTACCAACACTGGAGCAGGTACAGGTATATTCAGGGGACAGTCAATGCCCAGTATTTGCTAACAGTACGTAACAGCGACTAACGAGCTATCAAAGCCATCAGGGTCCTTTGCTTAGGCTTGGTTAAAGAATAGTAAATCTACAAAAATAAAAGTGAAACTTTTTTTGATGAGTACTATGACAGACATTACAAATGCGTTTACAGCATTAATTGAGGCTGATGGATCATTAAACATATTGTGGTTAATAACATAGAAACTTTCCTGACCTAGTACGCGCCTCGACGCCTCCTATAATAACTCAACAGGAAGCGTCGAGGGGCGTACGGGGTCAGGTGCACACTTTTGTACTGTTAATACTGCTATTAATATTATTAATACGAATAAAGATTGTGGTAATATTAATGATTATATGAAATTATACTGTAATAAGAGCGACAGACTGACTGACATACAAAGCAAAGAGAGAGAGAGAGAGACTATGGTAAAACGGGTAATAATTATATCAGTAAATGTAAGGATCTGATGTTCTTATGAAGACTAATGTTTACTGATGGCATAAGAAGTTATTAAAACAATAGTTGACGACACCTGAAGTCATGATCTTTTGAAAATGTCACCCACGGGAAATTTGGGAGGAGGAAGCTGCAGCGGTGACCGAGGAGTGCTAAATTTAGCATTACTGCTTGTCCTGTTGTGCTGTTGACTACTGATATATTACTAAATAATCCGCGTTGTCTATGTTCTCCAAGGCATCAGTAAATTACTACATGACTCTGGGATCATACAGTTTCCAAATATAACAATTAGCCATTTGTTTACCGCAATTTCCCGAAAATAAAGTAGAGTGTTTGTGGTGTTGTGATCGTGGTGGTGGGTAGTGGCATCTTGGCAGTGGTGTACGTGTGAGGTGGTGAAGTTACGCATGTGTGTGTCTTTGGTGACCCTGGCACTGTGTTTCCAGGGCCACTAAAATCCTCTGATGGTCATGCTTTCCTGAACAGTGCTGAACTTTCGCACAGTAGTGTCCAATCTTCCTCAAAACTGGACGGGAAAAATGCATACATATTTTACGCTTCAATTATCAATACCAGGAAAACGATTTCCTTAAAATAGTGGTAAAGACAAAAAAAAAAGTAAGTGTCTCAATAGAGTGATGTGCTTGTGGTTATTTTTTTATTGTTATTTATCAGTTCTCGTGAATATTATCAGATAATTTGGGCGGTGAATTTGAATACTATACTGGTATTGATTCTCATAGATGAAGTTTCTTGAAGGGATATAGAACTGTCAGAACCGAAAATTATGGCAGGAAATTCTTAGCGAGTATCAGTGTCCTACATTGTTTTGGTAATGGTGTCCTATCCTTGAATTTAATATCAACATCTTGCTTATTGTTTTTATGTTTATCCGTGTCTCATTATATTGTTTATACGTGATGTTTTGAGTTGACTACAGTATTACTTTTATCCTCTTCACCACTGATCGGCTTGTTAGCCGCTTGGGCGATCGGTCACGTCTCTGATTACTTTTCCTTTTCTTTTATCCTCATCACAAAAATATCGGCTCGTTAGCCGCTTGGGCGATCGGTCACGTCTCTGTTACGCACTGTTGGCAAGTACTGGGCATGCACCGGCTCCTGAATGTACCTGAACCCGCTCCAGTGTTGGTCAAGTCTTGTCTTGAAAGAGCTCACACTCGGTGCCGTCACAACACTCTCTGGTAGATTGTTCAAAGAGTTTACAACCCTCACTCCGAAAAAGTCTGCCCTCACAGTTTTCTGGACTTGCGGCTTCTTCAATCTTCAGCTGTGACCCCTTGTGGGGCGAGCGTCCGCCAGCTCCAAGTAAGGACACTCGACTGAATAGTGCCCCTTGAGATGCTTATACACCTCAATTAGGTCACCCCTTTCCCGTCTGTGGTATAAGCTAGGTAAGTTCAGGCGCTCCAATCTCTCAGGGCAGCTGAGGTGCCGAAGTGCAGGCACCAGTCTGGAGGCCCTCCTTTGAACATTTTCAACCAACTGACAGTCCCTAGCATATTTCTGGGACCAGACGGGGTGACAGTACTCCAGATGGGGAAGCACTTCACTCTTGAAGATCGTTACGAGGGACGGACCGTCTAGATATCTGAACGACCTTCTTATAAGACCCAATAATTTATTTTCCTGATTTACCTTCTTCTCGCAATGGCCCGAGAACTTCAGCTCATTGTCAACATACACACCTAGGTCCTTCTCACATTCAGTCTCAAAGAGTGCAGTTTCTTCATCCCGTTGGGACATATGATACACCTCCTTACCGTTGGTACACCCCAGGTGCATCTTCTTACACTTCGTGACATTGAATCTCAGCAGCCATTTCTTCGACCATTCCTGGAGCCCACAGAGGTCCTTCTGCAGCTCTTCACAGTCCACTTGGTTCTTAATTTCCCGAAATAACTTGGCGTCATCGGCAAACATTTGTATGGAGGAATGTACAACGTCAGGCATGTCATTTATGAAACAAACAAACAACAGCGGGCCCAATACGTTGAATTTAAGAGAGTTGACCTGTTGACGGCTGTGTGTGTGTGTGTGTGTGTGTGTGTGTGTGTGTGTAGAATTTTAGTTAAGGAGATTCTGTGGGTACCATTTAGGAGTCAAAATGAAGTTAGGTAATTTAAAGACGTTAAGTGAAAATGATTTAGTTTGAGTGATTCTGGTGATTTATGAAGAGGCAGTCCTGTTGCCTGTCTCGTGCATCCTCCCTTACATTTTTTCAACGTTCTTTTGTTTGTCATTTTCTGAGAATTTTTTCTTTTAATTTTTATATAATTTAGTTTATCCTTGTGTATATGGGGAGTGTAGCATGGCGTCAGAGGTAAACAACGAAACATAAACACCAATGATAGAAAATGAATATAGATGGGAAGTTGTCCATTCATTAAACTTACGGGCCAATCAATATGAGTTTTATATATTAGTCCCATTTGTCATTTTCACGGTAATTTCGAAATTAATATATAAGATTGCTAGAGTCTAGAATTTTAGATTGACGATATTTCGACACAATTTCTTAAAACAGACTGAGTGTTTGTTTCATTTGACTTTACTTTTACTTTTATCCTCTTCGCCACTGATCGGCTCGTTAGCCGCTTGGGCGGTCGGTCAAGTCTCTGTTACGCACTGTTGGCAAGTACTAGGCCTGTACTAGCTCCAGGATGTATCTGTACCTGCTCCAGTTGAATGAAAATGTTCGAAGGAGGGCCATCAGACTGGTGCCTGCACTACGGCACCTCCGTTATCCAGAGAGATTAGAACACCTGCAACTGCCTAGCTTATACTACAGACAGGCTAGGGGCGACCTAATTGTAGTTTATATACATCTCAAAGGGTACAACTCAGTCGAGTTTCCAAACCTGGAGCTGGTGGACGCCCGTCCCACGAGGGGTCACAGCTCAAGGTTGAAGAAGCCACAAGTCCAGAAAACTGTGAGGGCAAACTTTTTCGGAGTCAATATTGTAACTCTTGGAACAGTCTGCCAGAGGGTGTTGTGACAGCACCGAGCGTGAGCTCTTTGAAAACCAGACTTGATCAACACTGGCGCAGGTTCAGGTACATTCAAGAGACAGTGCCTGCCCAATATATACAGGGTACATGCCAACAGTGTGTAAATGGCCGCCCGATCGGTTGGAGCGCTGACCAGTGAGAAGTGGACGAAGTAAAGTATAGATATAAGTGTAGAAAACTGATTACGAAATTTTAGCAGGAATGAAATTGGATTTTTTCCTTGTTGCTCCAGCAGACTGGTTGCCAGACGCGTGGGCGTACGTGGGTGGTGTGAGCGCGGGTGTAATGCCACTACCGTCACCCTACCGTAACCCTGGACGCTGGCGAGCTGTCGTGTTCCAACAGGAAGTCAGACACGGCACTGCAGGTCAGCCACCGTACACACCAGGTTCATTCTTGTGTGCTAAGATGATGCGTCGCCACTGCAGGCAGAAAGCTGGCGAGTGCTCGTCTGGTGTAGCAGCTTTTCTAATTACCCGGGAGGAGCGTAATATCAGGTGATGTGGCCATGGGCTGCAAGAAGATAGCATTTGTTTTTTGTCTTATTTTCAGTGATGAGCTAGTGTGTTACCTCCTCTCTCTCTCTCTCTCTCTCTCTCTCTCTCTCTCTCTCTCTCTCTCTCAACACACGAGTAATCAGTAGCGTCTTAGCCAGCACGGCGCTCTTACCTTTCCAGGGAATTGTGAGATCTAGAATGGGAAGTAGACCAAAGCTGAAGGTCACAGGGTAAGTTAAGAGGTCAAGGGATAAGGTCATATGGGTAAGGTGTTGAGGTCACAGGGCCCATTTAGACAAACTGTAAACGCGTTCTTCACACACACACACACACAATGACAGCCTTGAACCCCTGACTTGACCCTTGATCTGGCGCTGCAAGTAAGTATATGGAGCGTGTTTGTAGTCGCGATGCACGGCTTGTGGGCGTGGCGGACGCCTTGTGGGCATGGCAGTGGGCGCGTGTGTGTGGTAGTGGCGTGTGGGTGTGGCAGTGGGCGCGGGTGTGTGGTAGTGGGCGTGTGAGTGTAATAGTGGGCGTGTGTGTGTGGTAGTGGGCGTGTGGGTGTAATAGTGGGCGTGTGGGTGTAATAGTGGGCGTGTGGGTGTAATAGTGGGCGTGTGGGTATAATAGTGGACGTGTGAGTGTGGCAGTGGGTGTAATAGTGGGCGTGTGTCTGTGGTAATGGGCGTGTGGGTGTGGTAGTGGGTGTGTGGGTGTAATAGTGGGCGTGTGGGTGTGGTAGTGGGCGTGTGAGTGTGGTAAGGGGCGTGTGGGTGTAATAGTGGGTGTGATAGTGTTATCCTTCCTTCCTCCGTCAGGTTGCCTGCTGTCGGTGGTGTTGCTGGCGCCTCTGTTGGTACGTGACGTGGGCGTGGGTGGGGTAGCTGTGGGCGTGGTGGTGTACAGCTGCATCCTGGTGCCCGCCCTCACCAATTACTACTCTTTCCCCCGTCTTGTGATTCGTCTGGCCCGCGCGCTTTACAATGGCTGGAATAAGAATGGGTAAGTGTGTATTTTATCTCTCTCTCTCTCTCTCTCTCTCTCTCTCTCTCTCTCTCTCTCTCTATCAACTGTAAAATATTTCAACAATTACTCATAAAAACCAACTATAAAAGGAAAGAACAACTAGATTTTTTAAGAGCATATGTTAAATTTCCCAAATCTTTTAAAATAAATAACTAAAAACCTTTCTAGACTATTTTACTAACTGATAAAGATTACAATAGTATTTCCCGATAACTAAATAACTAAAGCTATTAAGTGTTTGCCTTTTGTTGTTAATTTAGTGGTTGTTTTTTTGTTTACTAAGTGTGTGAAGTATTATGTACGCTTTCCATTTTGGCCTCGTCCATTGATTCCATCTGGTAGGGCGGTGTGTATGGCCAGCGATGTTTGGCTTTTCTAACTTCTCGGGTCGTTAGGGGGAGTAGCTTGTTGCTTGTGTATTCTTTACTGTTTCCTACCTTATCTATTTTTTTCCACACTTCCCCCATAACTTTTTCCAGGTCTGTATACGAGGATTGTTCCAAGAGTACAATTCTCACCCCGAAAACGTTTGCCCTCACAGTTTTCTGGACTTGTGGCTTCATCAGCTTGAGCTGTGACCCCTTGTGGGGCGGGCGTCCGCCAGCTCCAGGTATGGACACTCGACTGTGTAGTGCCCTCTGAGATGTTTATACACCTCAATTAAGTCACCCCTTGCCCGTCTGTAGTATAAGCTAGACAGTTGCAGGCGCACTAATCTCTCTGGGTAGCTGAGGTGTCGGAGTGCAGACACCAATCTGGTGGCCCTCATTTGAACATTTTCAACCAACTGACAGTCCCTAGCATATCTCGGGGACCAGGTTAGGAGGCACCTTCTTATAAGACCTACTAGTTTAGTTGCTTGGTGCACCTTCTTCTCACAATGGCCCGAGAACTTCAGTTCATTATCAGCATACACACCCAGGTCCTGTTCCTCTTTGGTCTATATCTATGCAGTTTATTCGTCCCGTTGAGACATGTGACACGCCTCCTCACCGTTGGTACGACTCAGGTGCATCCTCTTACAGTTCGCTTATGAGGAATGTGCACCGTCAACTTTGTTTTACTCAAAAGTCACAGGCAGGCCCACCCCCCTTCATTACTACCTCACTCCTTTCCTTCCTCACAGATGGTGGCGGTATAAGTATTGTTGGGTTAAGAATATCCTAGTGGTTCAAATACTCCAGGGGCCACAAATATATATCCTAAGGTTACTAATATCCTTTACGTAAAAATTCCTCCTAGATATAAATACCCCCACAAGAGGATGAATATAATGGGGCATTTGTATCACGGGATACACTCGTCACTGGGTGTAATTGTCTGGGCCTCCCGCCAGGTGGGCGTGGGGGTGAGGGTTTGCCGGCGTACCCGTGGCTGCTACTGTTGGTGCTGGCGCCCTACCTGCTCTTCGTGGTGAGGACACGACCCTTCCTGGTGGCTCTGGCGGCCTTCGTGTACATAGGCGTGGTTCTACCCATGGCTCTGCACGCCCAGCTGCCTCAGGGCTCCCTCCTCTGGCTCCCCAGGACCGTGCTGGCTCTCTTGTTTACGCGGTGAGTGTCTCCCCAGAGCATCAAGGTTATGCTCACTCTATACGTCAGTTCTGTGGTTGATCATGGTCGAGGTGACTCACTAGGGCAGGTCTGTTGTTCCTCATTGTTGCGATGAGTCAATTTATCCTTCAAGTTACATTACGTCAAAAACGAGCTGTGAACTTGATAATGATAAACTATACTCAAATGACCATCGTGTTATAGCCTAGGAAACATGTGTCCAGTGGTTGACTCTTCATCCTGGATATTTTCGAAGCTCACAAATTATGAATCTTTGTTATATCTCGTTCAGTTATCACTCAGTTTTGTTTATGACTTCGAAACTTTGATTATATAATTATATAATTTATTTTAATTTCAGGACCACGAGAGCTTGTGAATATTATTTCCTGAAACCAATCCATTATTCTGAACATAATCTCCTAACCCTTATTAAAGATATGTTACCAAACGAAATCTAAGAATAATGTACGTGTGTTTAGTGAGGTCAGGTTAGGGGTAATGAACAAGTTTTCATTTAATCGGGAAGTAGTTACATGTAGCGTCACTCTTCACCCTGAAAAATAAAGCGGCACCTCTAGCTTCGTAACTCTCCCTGAGTCACTAAGCTACGGGTCTTGTTTTATTCTTGAAATTAAAAGTGAAACAGCTTATATAACCAGGAAAATACAGATACAGTGTGAGTAACAACAACAATATCGTCATGAGTGAGCCTTTTGAGTGTTGGAACTCATTATGGTACCTGATGGATACCTGAACGATCCCTTCAAATTACTTCCCGACGACGTCATTCTTGGGAAGGTTCGTGAAATACTAAACTGATTCACCGAGGATACAGTTCTTATCCTGGGCATCAGTACATCTCCACAGTACCTCATGAAGAGACGTCTTCCTCCCGCAGGTCTGCCCTCTACACCGGGCTGGCCACGTCCCTGGGCTCAGCAGTGTGCTGGGCGGCGTTCTGGACTGAGTACCTCGTCAGGCAGTTCTTGAGATACCTTCTAAGGGCGATCTTTATGCCCTTGATCTTTGTCTTCGGCTGCGTGTTGCCTCTCCTGCACAACGTTTACCTCGCCTTCGACGGCTTCAGGACCACCAGTAACCAGGTGAGAGGAGCGACTGGGGTCTTAAGCTTTTGCTGAACAACTTCCTGTCAACAAAAACAATTATATTGACAAAAGTTTCGTTAGCCGACGTTAAACTTCTTATGCCCCTCTCCCCGTTTCACAGGAGAGGACTATACGATTGCCCTCCGTCTGATTATCAGTCATGTCTGTTTACAAAGAAGCCATTGGGAGATATTCTATCTAGCGGAAGTAGACTAACAGGTGTTGTTCTCCCACAGGTGGTGTTCTTCCTGATGGTGCAACAGTTGGTGACGCCCCTCGCCCACCTCACGGCTCTCTACTTCCTTCTCTTCTACACAGTCCTCCACTACCTGCACAAGTCTCTCTTTGTTAGTATCTGTTGTGTGTGTGTGTGTGTGTGTGTGTGTGTGTGTGTGTGTGTGTGTGTGTTAAGTCATCCAGTTAGATTAATTCTTACATCTCCAGGTAGATGGATGATTGAACCTAGGAATCTAACCTAATCTAACCTAAGCCAAAATTACCTTAAGATTATTTGACTAGTTAGGTTAGTTCACGTTGAGATAATTTTTGTGACGCCTACTTTCATGAACAGTTTAGTACCATAACCTTTTTTTACCGTTCGTGGTACTCCTTCTAACATTGGCCATCTTTCTTTTGGGGGGGGTGGGGACAGACGCGGCAGTGGGCGAGAACGATGCAGACTACAGAGATGCGGGACTTAATGCGCCTTACTGCCTGGTACATGGCGGTCAGGTTGGGTAAAGGTGTCGCCATGTCCTTCGTCCTCGTCATGTTTACCCTCCAATTCAACCACGTCGAATCTGACCTCGTCTACATCGTCGTCACCTTCATCTACTTCGTCGTGTCTCAGCGTAGATGGACAGGTGAGGCGCGACTGATTAGTGGGACAAAACTTCATCCACCTTGACTTAGTGGGATTTTGTGGAGATCATTTATAACACATTGTGGTTCAGTCCAGTGGAAATTAATGTAATAATTTGTTATCACTTATTATATATAAGCTGTAGAAAATGGCTGAGGGGTTGGTGATGGTGGTGGTGATAGTGGTAGTGGGAGGGTGGCAGGCAGGGAGGGTGCCAGGCAGGGAGGGTGGCAGGCAGGAGGGTGGGAGGCAGGGAGGGTGGGAGGCAGGGAGGGTGGGAGGCATGGAGGTGGGAGGCATGGAGGGTGACAGGCAGGGAGGGTGGCAGGCATGGAGGGTGACAGGCAGGAGGGTGGCAGGCAGGAGGGTGGCAGGCAGGAGGGTGGCAGGCAGGGAGGGTGGCAGGCAGGAGGTGCCAGGCAGGAGGGTGCCAGGCAGGAGGGTGGCAGGCAGGGAGGGGTGGCAGGCAGGGAGGGTGGCAGGCAGGGAGGGTGGCAGGCAGGAGGGAGGGAGGGAGGGTGGCAGGCAGGGAGGGTGGCAGGCAGGAGGTGGCAGGCAGGGAGGGTGGCAGGCAGGAGGGTGGCAGGCAGGTGGCAGGAGGAGGTGGGAGGCAGGAGAGTGGCAGGCAGGAGGGTGGCAGGCAGGCAGGAGGGTGGGAGGCAGGAGGGTGGCAGGCAGGAGGGTGGCAGGCAGGGAGGGTGGCAGGCAGGGAGGGTGGCAGGCAGGGAGGGTGGGAGGCAAGGAGACAGGGAGGTTGGGTAGGCAGGCAATTAGGAAGGGAGACAGATAGAGAGGGAGGGAACAACAAGATCTCACCTTCCCTTCTCTCAGGCAACGAGCGCATCGTGTCCTGGAGTCGAGCTTTGGATATCGAGGTGTTGGAGGAGGAGGAGGAGTTTTGGGTGCCAGTGTTCATGAGGGGGAGTACTGTGGTGGCGTCCCTCTGTGTGACGGTGCCCTTAGCACTCTCTTCCCCCTGGCTGGTGATGATGGCTGCCTACACCAACCTGCTGGTGCCCGGTTTGCTCCTGAGGGGGGAGTACCTGGCTCATATCTCCCGACAGTCTGTTCTCATTACCAAGTGTAGGAGAGCCACGCCTCAGGTGAGTCTCTCTCCTTCTCTCGCTTTACATTCCCGTGTTTTTACACCGTTCTGTTTCCTTAATTCACACATCTGTTAAACCGAATAAAATCTACCTATTGAACACATTGACAAGTTCCTAATTCAATATTTAACTTGAATATATATACTGAGTGAGGTCTACGGTACTGGTGAAGGAGGCAGCCAACCTGATGAACTAGAAATTCAAGGTTTAAAGCATCACGAACAGGATCACAACTATTAATATTTGAAACGACACAAACTAATCTAAATTTGCTTAAATGAAATAAAATCTACTCTAAAATAATTAAAGAAATAGGGTTACGTATGTGGCGTATGATTTAAACATTAACAATAATAATAATTTACTATTAAAAAGTATTGTCAGATTAGTGATATTGTTCGTGGTATTTCTTCAACACGGACTATATGACCCACACCACCTTTCCTCACCTGCAGGAGATTGAGCTCAACTCGACGTGTCCAGTTTGCCTGGAGGAGCTGCGTCAGGCGAGGCTCACACCCTGCCGCCACCTCTACCACGCAGCCTGCCTCAGGAAGTGCCTCACTCTGTCCCCGCTATGTCCTCTATGTAAACAAACTATATAGCACTCTGCATCGTGTAAATAAACTATATAATACTCTCCACCGTGTAAATATATAATACTCTCTACTGTGCAAATAACTTGTATAGTGCTCTCTCCATAATGTAAATAAAATACAAAGCGTTTTTCCACGTTACGAACATATCACAACATTTTCACCATTATATATACAAATTACGTCGTGGGTAAGATTGAAAGCCTAGGCAGTTTATAGAGTAATAGATGGCTCCAAGAAGCGGCTCTGCTCTCGTCTATTTGAGGACCACGAGGCCGGGCGTAGGACTAGCTGCAAACAAACACTTCACATAGATTCCTTTCTTTTCACAGACCATTGTGGAAACGAGTCCAATAGGCATGACGTCTCATTAGGGATTTTTAACAAAGCAGACACACGAGTGGCAACCTCCTTCACTTCCTCTACTGTAAAGTTAGGTGCTCATTCACAGTTGGATGGACTGAGGCGTGAACCAACGACAGGGGGGCGAGTGCTTTATCCCATTAGCCACTGCACTGTACTTACTCCCTTTTCCAGTCTTATCTACACATCCCAGCTACTGTACTGTACAGTCACACACTGGCAAAAGTTGTGTTTCGTACTTAATGATCGACGGGCCAGCTGGGCAGGTTGTGAGGAGAGTATTACCAACGTGTATTCATGCCTTAGGTTGCCATCTGTCTACACTCCAGAGGCGTGTTTAACACCCCCAAAGTAATGTACGAGAAAAAAAAAGCGAAATGGGAGGATTTGAGTTTGCTGTGCACTCTTTTATGTTCAATAGAGTGAAAATGTTGACCTTCACACCTAACTGTGAGTTACTACAGTGAGCGAGGTACTGTGACACCATACTACGTGAGGTCACCAATTGATACTGCGACGCTACGTAATGAACGAGCTACTGCGACACGTGAGGTCTCTCATGACACCACTTATGAGTTCGTTATTGCAACACGTGTTTGCTGTTCAACACCTCAGCACACTTGGCTTACGTGCCCCCTCACAGAAGGGCGTAAGACCAGCCCCCGCCATCATTCAAACAACAGTTTGTATGGTCACTAAATGTTCTTTTCCAATTTATAGTAAAACCTTTTGCCCTCCCGTGTTACTGTAGGTGAGAAGTCATTGCCCATTGTTTATTTTCAGTCTTTGGCTGCTGTGCATTTTTCAATAAACCGTTAATTATTATTATTATTATTATTTATTATTATTTTTTATTATATTATTATTATTATTATTATTATTATTATTATTATTATTATTATTATTATTATTATTATTATTATTATTATATACACACTTTATACGCCACATTATAATAATATCCTTTAAAACTATGTGAGTCATCGACCTTAACAGTTTAAACTATTGTATATATATATATATATATATATATATATATATATATATATATATATATATATATATATATATATAATATATATATATGCAAAAAGGGAAACAATGGAGCACCTTAGCTTTCGTCGTTATTCAAGACATCTTCAGAGGCAACTGAATTACAAGGACCGAGAGAGGCTTAAGTAAGAACATCCTCGAGGGCGCCAGTACCCAGGTACGGACTCTGGGGCGCTGCCATCCCTAGAAGGGCCCTAGGGCGCCGTCGTCCCAGAGAACGGCTTGGAGTGTGGCTGTCGCTGGGAGAGCTCCTGGGAGCGCCAGCGATCCTGGCGGGGTCCATGGGGGTGACGCTGTTGCTGAGAAGGCCCCTGGGAGCTCCGATGATCCTGGGTGAGCCCTTGGGGGCGACATTGTCCTTGGGAAGGACGCTGAGAATAAGGCGTTCCCTGGGAGAGTCCTTGGGAGCGGCAACGACCCTGCCAAGGTCTTTGGGGGCGCCGGTGATTATGGAAAGACCCCTAGCAGCGTCGATGTCCGTGGGAGAAACCCTGAGGTGCCATCGCCCCTGGAATGGCCACTAGAGATAGTTGTTTTTGCACTATTTAAAAGTCTGGGTGATATGACATTAAATAAATACACTGCCCATCACATTTCCAGTATCATCGTATCCTGAACAATGAAATGGAGAATAAATATCAACAGGAAAACATAAGTTGAAGTGTTGTGCTGACTAGTGCTCTGTTCTCCTATTGGCTGTAATTTGGTAGATTTACATTTTAGTCCACCAATCACAGTTAAGTAAGGAGTTACTGGAAAGAATGCAATATGTATGACATCTCTATCAAATCTCTGGGGTTCCGCCACTCTTGGGATATTTCGTTATGCCCCCTAGCAGTGACCCTGCTGCCCTAGCGAAGGTCCCCTCCGTGCCTAGAAGGGCATCTTGGGCCAACCGCCCCTAGGAGGATCATAGCGCCGCCGCTGCTTGCTTCATAGAAGGGCCCATGAAGTCACCACGATTCAGGGCCCTGAGAGAGTGACTGTCAGTAGAGGCCATGGGGGCGTCTGTTGATCCCGTGAGATGGTCCCTGGAAGTGCTCTTGGCTCTAGAGAGCCCCTGGCAGTACCAGCGTCCCTGACAGCGCCCTGGGGGGCGCGCCCTGAAACGCCGCCGTAGATGGCATTATACCTGGGGCTCACCGCCTTTCAGGGGGGCCTGGGCGCGCCAAAGTCCCTGGAGGGCCCTACTGGGGCATAGCACCCCAAAAGGAACTCCCAGGGACAGCGGCGCGATCCGGGGGGCCCTCATTGGGGTTATTGACGCTCTCCAGGGCCCCCTCAGAATTGTGAGTGGCGCCCCCACGTGCTGTGCCATGGGCTTGGCATAAGGGCGCTCTGTCAGGGTCGCTGGCACTGCCTGGGGCTCTCTCAGGGCCTAGAGCACTTACGGACAGTCTCACTGACAGCAGCGCCCCAAAGGGCTCTACAGGGACAGCCACGCTCCCAGGGTCTCTGCCAGGGGCGACGGCGCCCCCAGGGGCCCTTCCACATGCAGCTTTACCCCAAGAACTTCATATTTTTGTCGTACATTTTGCATTCGTCCAGTAATCCCTTACTTAAACGTGATTGGTGGAGTAAGATGTGGCGTCACTAAAATTACAGCCAATAGGAGAACAGGGCAATCAGTCAGCACAACACCCCAACTATGCTTTGCTGTTGGATGGCATTTATTCTCGTTCACTAGCCTTTTGAAAGCTCTGGAATATGATGTTAAATAAGAATACACACTGCCCATAGCATTTTCAAGTATTATCACCTTCTGAACAATGAAAAGGAGAATAAATATCAACAGCAAAGCCTAAATTAAGTGACTTTATTTTCTATTAGCTGTAATTTGACTCAGCGTTATCTCTTATTCACCAATCACAGTTAATGAGATTACTGAAAGAATACTAATATTTACACCAGTATCATTTTTTTAAGGGGCGCCGCCTCCCCTAGGAGGACCTATTGTGAGCCACAGGCGTTGGCAGGGTCCCGGGGAGCAGTGGCGCCCTCCTAGTGGCAGTGGGTGTCTTTCCAGGGGCGGCAGGATCTCTGCCAGGGGCGACGGCGCCCCCAGGGGCCCTTCCACATGCAGCTTTACCCCAAGAACTTCATATTTTTGTCGTACATTTTGCATTCGTCCAGTAATCCCTTACTTAAACGTGATTGGTGGAGTAAGATGTGACATCATAAAATTACAGCCAATAGGAGAACAGAGCAATCAGTCAGCACAACACCCCAACTTATGCTTTGCTGTTGGATATTTATTCTCGTTTCACTATTTTAAACTCTGGGAGATATGATGTTAAATAAAATACACACTGCCCATAGCATTTTCAGTATTATCGCAACCTGAACAATGAAAAGGAGAATAAATATCCAACAGCAAAGCATAAGTTGGGGTGTTGTGCTGACTGGTTGCTCTGTTTTCCTATTGGCTGTAATTTGATGACGTTACCTCTTATTCCACCAATCACAGTTAAGTAAGAGATTACTGAAGAATGCAATATTTGCGACACCAGTATCCATTTTTTTGGGGCGCCGCCTCCCCTAGGAGGACCTATTGTGAGCCACAGGCGTTGGCAGGGTCCCTGGGAGCAGTGGCGCCCTCCTAGTGGCAGTGGGTGTCTTTCCAGGGGCGGCAGGATCTCTGCCAGGGGCGACGGCGCCCCCAGGGGCCCTTCCACATGCAGCTTTACCCCAAGAACTTCATATTTTTGTCGTACATTTTGCATTCGTCCAGTAATCCCTTACTTAAACGTGATTGGTGGAGTAAGATGTGACGTCATAAAATTACAGCCAATAGGAGAACAGAGCAATCAGTCAGCACAACACCCCAACTTATGCTTTGCTGTTGGATATTTATTCTCGTTTCACTATTTTAAACTCTGGGAGATATGATGTTAAATAAAATACACACTGCCCATAGCATTTTCAGTATTATCGCAACCTGAACAATGAAAAGGAGAATAAATATCCAACAGCAAAGCATAAGTTGGGGTGTTGTGCTGACTGGTTGCTCTGTTTTCCTATTGGCTGTAATTTGATGACGTTACCTCTTATTCCACCAATCACAGTTAAGTAAGAGATTACTGAAAGAATGCAATATTTACGACACCAGTATCCATTTTTTTGGGGCGCCGCCTCCCCTAGGAGGACCTATTGTGAGCCACAGGCGTTGGCAGGGTCCCTGGGAGCAGTGGCGCCCTCCTAGTGGCAGTGGGTGTCTTTCCAGGGGCGGCAGGATCTCTGCCAGGGGCGACGGCGCCCCCAGGGGCCCTTCCACATGCAGCTTTACCCCAAGAACTTCATATTTTTGTCGTACATTTTGCATTCGTCCAGTAATCCCTTACTTAAACGTGATTGGTGGAGTAAGATGTGACGTCATAAAATTACAGCCAATAGGAGAACAGAGCAATCAGTCAGCACAACACCCCAACTTATGCTTTGCTGTTGGATATTTATTCTCGTTTCACTATTTTAAACTCTGGGAGATATGATGTTAAATAAAATACACACTGCCCATAGCATTTTCAGTATTATCGCAACCTGAACAATGAAAAGGAGAATAAATATCCAACAGCAAAGCATAAGTTGGGGTGTTGTGCTGACTGGTTGCTCTGTTTTCCTATTGGCTGTAATTTGATGACGTTACCTCTTATTCCACCAATCACAGTTAAGTAAGAGATTACTGAAAGAATGCAATATTTACGACACCAGTATCCATTTTTTTGGGGCGCCGCCTCCCCTAGGAGGACCTATTGTGAGCCACAGGCGTTGGCAGGGTCCCTGGGAGCAGTGGCGCCCTCCTAGTGGCAGTGGGTGTCTTTCCAGGGGCGGCAGGATCTCTGCCAGGGGCGACGGCGCCCCCAGGGGCCCTTCCACATGCAGCTTTACCCCAAGAACTTCATATTTTTGTCGTACATTTTGCATTCGTCCAGTAATCCCTTACTTAAACGTGATTGGTGGAGTAAGATGTGACGTCATAAAATTACAGCCAATAGGAGAACAGAGCAATCAGTCAGCACAACACTAACTTATGCTTTGCTGTTGGATATTTATTCTCGTTTCACTATTTTAAATAGGAGATATGATGTTAAATAAAATACCTTTGCGCATTTTCAGTATTATCGCCTTACAGACAATGAAAAGAATAAATATCAACAGCAAAAGCATGAACCAGAAATGACAATAGCTGCTGAACTGACGTTACCTCTTATTCCACCAATCTGAATAAAATGAATTACTGAAAAGAACAATATTTCATTACCGAAATATCCATTTTTGGGGCGCCGCCTCCCTAGGAGAGGACCTATTGTGAGCCTGAGCGTTGGCAGAGATCCCTGGGGTGATGGCGCCCTCCTAATGTGGCAGTGGGTGTCTTTCCAGGGGCGGCAGGATCTCTGCCAGAAGGCGGCAACTTTGGGGGCCCTTCCATGCAGCTTTACCCCAAGAACTTCATATTTTGTCGTACATTTTGCATTAGGTCAGTAATCCCTTATAGCGTGATTGGTGGAAGTAGATGTGGCGTCATAAATTACAGCCAATAGGAGAACAGAGCAATCCAGTCAGCACAACACCCCAACTTATGCTTTGCTGTTGGATATTTATTCTCGTTTCACTATTTTAAACTCTGGAGATATGATGTTAAATAAAATACACACTGCCCATAGCATTTTCAGTATTATCTTTAACCTGAACAATGAAAAGGAGAATATATATCAACAACAAGCATAAGTTGGGGTGTTGTGCTGACTGGTTACTCTGTTTTCCTATTGGCTGTAGTATTTGGGCAGTGCCCACCAACTGAGATTACTGAAAAATGCAATATTTATTTTCAGTATCCATTTTTTGGGGCGCGCCTCCCTAGGAGGACCTGACCCAGCGAGCCACAGGCGTTGGCAGGGGTCCCTGGGAGCAGTGGCGCCTCCTAGCTCAACAGTGGGGTGTCTTTCCAGGGGCAGCAGGATCTCTGCCAGGAGGCAGCTTCAGGGGCGACAGCGCCCCAGGGCCTTCACATGCAACTTTACCCAAGAACTTCATATTTTTTGTCCTACATTTTGCATTCGTCAGTAATCCCTTACTTAAACGTGATTGGTGGAGTAGATGTGACGTCATAAAATTACAGCCAACAGGAGAACAGAGCAATCAGTCAGCACAACACTAACATAACTTTGCTGTGGTTATTTATTCTCGTTTCACTATTATTTTAAACTCTGGAGATATGATGTTAAAATAAAATACACACTGCCCATAGCATTTTCCAGTATTATACAGCCTGAACAATGAAAAGGAGAATATATATCAACAGCAAAACTAAGTTGGGGTGTTGTGCTAACTATTTTAATTTGATAACGATACCTCTATTCCAATCACGAATATAGAATTACTGAAAGAGCTCTAATATTTATTTACCAGTATCCATTTTTTGGGGCGCCGCCTCCCTAGGAGGAGGACCTGTGCCCAGGCCACAGGCGTGGCAGGGTCCTGGGAGCAGTGGCGCCTCCTAGTGGCAGTGGGTGTCTTTCAGGGCAGCAGGATCTCTGCCAGGGGCGACAGCGCCCCCAGGCCCTTCCACATGGTGCCCAGACTTCATAGCTTTTTGTCGTGCATTTTGCATTCGTCCAGTAAGTCTTCTTACTTAAACGTGATTGGTGGAGTAAAAGTGTGACGTCAAAACTTCACAACCAATAGGAGAACAGAGCAATCAGTCAACTTCCTTACCCCCAACATGCTTTGCTGTTGGATATTTATTCTCGTTTTTCACTATTTTAGCTCTAGGAGATATGATGTTAAATAAAATACACATTATCATAACCTGGAATGAAAAGGAGAATAAATATCAACATGGTGTTGTGCTGACTGGTTGTCTGTTTTCTAATGGATAATTGTAACGTTACCTGTATGCACCAATCACAGTGCTAGAGATTACTGAAAGAATGCAATATTTATTTTAATCTAGGAGGACTATTATGAGCCACAGGCGTTGGCAAGAATCCCTGGGGGCAGTGGCGCCCTCCTGAGCAACAGTGGGTGTCTTTCCAGGGCGGCAGGATCTCTGCCAGGGGCGACAGCCCCCAGGAAGCACCTTCCACGTAGCTTTTACCCCCAAGAGCTTCATATTTTTTGTCGTGCATTTTGCATTGATCCGTGATCGCACTTACTTAGCGTGGGATTGGTGAGATAGGTGGCGTCATAAAATTACAGCCAATAGGAGAACAAGAGCAATCAGTCAGCACAACACCCCAACATGCTTTGCTGGATATTTATTCTCGTTTCACTACATTTTAAACTCAGGAATATGATGTTAAATAAATACACACTGCACATAGCATTTCAGTATTATACAACCTGAACAATAAAAGGAAGAAAATATCAACAACAACATAAGTTGGGGTGTTGTGCTGACTGGTTGCTCTGTTTCCTATTGACTGTAATTTGATGACGTTACCTCTTATTCACAATCACAGTTAAGTGGGGTATGAAAAAACTT